GACCTGCATCACTTCGGGTTTTCCTCCCTCATTAAGCTGACATGCCGCGATATAGCTGTAATACTGTTCAAAGCGGCCTTAAACCCAACTCACTCACTCACCAATACGAACAGGTTTTTTTTTGTCAAGATTATGTAAAGATATGATTGTTAGTTGTTTTGTTTTTTTCAAAACTACATCACTGTGAAGATGTACGATAATGTACACAGTGCAATTGTAGTATCATCTTTTTCTACATGTGTGACAATTTAATCATACATAGAATACCTGTCAACCTATTAATATTAAATGTATTCATTGACATGTCAAACTATGAATAAAGTTTTTTTGTAGAATGCTCCGTCCTACTGTCTCAGTGAATGTATTGTTGTTCTAAGACGCCATCGGCAATATTTCAGTTCAATCTGGTGATTCTTCATGAGCCTGGACGTGGCGACCAATGGTTGAAAATTTGAGTAACACTATACTAGACAAGGTGACAGCCACCTCACACAGTTTAACCACCCGAAACCCCCAGTCTGCGTTACAGAATATTCATAATTTCTGAATTCTATACCGGGTTCCATACACAAGTTTGTTTTATTTTGAACGCACGTGTGTATAATCAAATCCTGTCCATACAACCAGTGATTGGGTTGTGAATATAACGGGTTCACATTTCTCAACACAGCCTGCATGCTCATCACAAAACAGTATCTTGGCACGTCGTCGATTGGCTGAAGCGTTAAGATGGCAGATTATTGGAATGAAAAATGCAGGAATATCATGAAGGGATATCGGACGCCAACGTCAATTTCAAGATAAGTGCAGAAATACCGAAGTTAAGGACAGCCCCACAAGACATCCAGGAGAGACGAAGCAGCATTATTGAGGCTCTTTAGACGACCTGCCATGCGACGGCGGCATGCAAACATATCTGAGAAATGATTGATGGAGCAGAAATTCCAGTGACACGACAAGAACGATAACCCTTTAGTCAGAGATTATCATTGGATACAATCAAGCACTGTGTGTGTATATCAATAAACATTGCTCGCATATATTAGGGTCACTGCTGCTCCGTAAGCAAAAACATGCAGTGGTCACCCTAAAGAAAAAGAAGCAAGCCTTCAAGTTGTAAGATTTAGTTCCAATCAGCATACCAATATTATGACGTCACTTCGCTCATTGTGACGCGAATATACGATATATGTCGCCATCGGAGATAGAAAAGCCCCACATTTGAAGCTCTCTGCTGTCCTTACAATTTGAAACAACTTTAGTACTTTCGAGTTTTGAGTTTCGAGAAGGAAATGCTACATAATACCTACTGTCCTTCAAAGAAAGGGGGCGGTCGGGTAGCCTAGTGGTTAAAGCGTTCGCTCGTCACGCCGAAGACCCGGGTTCGATTCCCGACATGGGTACAATGTGTGAAGCCCATTTCCTGTGTCCCCCGTCGTGATATTGCTTGAATATTGCTTAAAGCGGCGTAAAACCATACTCAGTGCTCACTCACTCACTCACTTCAAGAAAGGATTGAAGAACGCGTCAACCCTACACAGATTCATCACTTATTAAACCTATTGCTCTGACGCAATATTTTGAATTCGAGTCGTCTTGAAATATGGCTGACGTTATACCATAATGGTCTTAAGGTTGGAGCAATGTGACGTTATATCACATATCACAAATCCGCATTGAAAATGTTTAACATGCACATGAACAAAAAGCTACTACGCCCCTCTTTTCTAACCTTCCGATATTTTTACAAGCTAAAACAATATTTTTTAACCTTTAATTTCAAATAATTGCTTGTACTATCTTTTGAGTTTTTATAACCGACGTCAGTGACATGAGGTAGATCACCAAGGAGTTTACCTGGACAGGTAGGGGCATCAATTAATTTCACCGACGAGTAGAACACCAAAGTTATTACATAGACGTTAAGATCATATTGTTAAGCGGATATCATGGTAATTAGATAATGCTATAAGTGGGTGGGTACTGGTTTATGTAACCGCGTCAGCTTGACGTGGATTGAAAGCAGGTGTTAGACGTTTACCACTTTGGTGACACCAACGAGCGCGGGTATTGTGCTGTCAGATCTAGAAACATATTCAAGGCGAACCGGCATTCTACACAAAACAACATGTACATAAAAGACAGCAGAACTATTGCTTTCTTGACAATTGTCAACTGAATAATTGAAGGGGTCACGCCATTTTTATAATAGTGTGGGGGATAGGGAGGAGTGAGGTGTGGTAGTATGTGTGTGAATGTGCGTACGTGCATTGTCGACAATTACCACACCATTAATTCTTTGCTATAATACTAACGGGTAAATTACGACATGCTAAATGTTCAGAATAATTCTTTTGTTGCTGACGTTGTTGGTATTGTTTCCATTGATGTATTGAGTGAGATGAGTTCTCATTTTCAGAATGCCTTTGTATATTCAGAAACGAGCGTGAAGGTGGTGAAATAGCTTACATATAATACATTTTGGTTTGAATATCTTTCCGTAGGTTTTCTAAAATTATTTAGTTTTATTATACTATAATCTAAACGTGAGTTTGAACGATGCAGTTAACAGAGAACCAGGCGGATAGAAAGAATTGTGATGCAGATAAACAAGGCAAGTAAAATAGTGTAGCTATACACTGATAAGTGGTTAAACAGACAAAACAAAGAAAATAATATACATGTTTTTATTACGCTATAAGTGGTGAAATATCATACTTATCTGAAAATAATTAACTTTAAAAATTAAAATCAGTCCGCGAAATATCATTATTTGCGACTCCCGGAACTTCGTTTTTGGACTGCAATAAGCGTCAATACACTAAATCATTCGTTTACCGGAAATGTGAATATCCGGGCGTTTTCCCAGATCTAAGTGATAAATACAATGTGAATGTATGTGAATACAATTGAATAACAAATCATAAAACGCATTCTTTGACTACATTATCATTAACTCACATCATAATACTCCCCCGGGGGTTCTCCGCGCACAGCAATTGGTCACCACGCTACCTGAACTGGTAGTGCAAGGCGGCTAAATTTACCAGTTGGTCACAATAGACAATGTACGAGGGGCGTTCGAAGTCGCAGAATATCTTTTGCACTTTTATTTTCAATATAATCTCCATTCACCTCAATACACTTATTCCATAGTCGCTGGTGGCTAAGTCTGGGGCTGTGCAGTTTAAATCACCCATCATACAGCCCCCAGTGACTATTTCCTGTTCCGGCAAATGAAATCTGCCCTACGTGGAAGACGCTACTAGGATGACGAGAACAAAGGCTGCCACAGAGGCGTGGTTAGCGGGCTAATCTGCGGATTTCTAAAAAAGTGGTATTAAAAACTTGAAGGACAAATGGAATAAGTGAATTGAGGTAAATGGATATTATATTGAATATAAAAGCGCAAAAGATATTCTACGACATGGTCTTATATTGAAGTTGCAAAACTTATTGAACGCCCCTCGTATCATCCATTGAATTGTCTGGCCCAGACTCGAATTTTCACGGGCTGTACCAACAATAAAAAACAACAAATTAAATGTATCGCTGTATGATATATACGTAAAACGACTGCATGTCTCAAATATTTAATACATATACTGAACCAAATTAAAAACTTCACAATCCTAAAAGTTTAACATTTTGACTAGTTATCATTGTGGGCCCTTATTGTGTATTTAAACAGTAATGGCCACGTATTTTCTTCAGATAACACCCGTTTTTGTGCGGGTGAATCGATCAAAATCATGTGCACAGCACTATAGTGGCAAAAGTGGTTTTTCACGTGCAACTGGTCACGTGGCCATAATACCGCATGTGTTTTCAGCCATACTTGTTAGCAGTCTTTGACAAAAAAAGAAAAACACAAGAAAACAAAAGTCTTTGCGGCTATTTGTCATGCCACGCCTTTCAAATGTGCAACGTGAACGTGCTATCGGCGTGTTGCAGACGGGAACGACCGAAGCTGAAGTCGCAAGGACGATGGGTTGTATTCGACGGACTGTTTATGATTTACAGACGCGTCTACAGCAAACGGGTACCACCGCTGATCGCCCTCGGCCAGGTCGACCACGTGTGACGTCACATGCAGAGGCTCGTCAGATTGTCTTACGTCACCTCCGTAACCGATTTTTGACGGCTACATCAACCAGAAATGAACTGTTTAGGGGTAGACTGAGTGCGCAAACTGTTCGAAACCGTCTGAGAACTTCTCACCTTCAAGCACGACGGCCATACTGCGGGCCGATTCTGACTCAATTACACAGACGTCAACGTCAATTGTGGGCCAGCGACACTTACGATGGACTCAGAGGAATTGAAATCAAGTCGTCTTCAGTGATGAATCCCGATTTAATCTTCGATTTGCTGATGGTAGGGCGAGGGTGTGGAGGCGCCGTCATGAACGTTACGCCCAGTATTGTGTACAGGAAGTTGACAGATTTCGAGGCGGAAGTGTCATGGTGTGGGGTGCTTTACGTTCCGGGCTTCTTGTCATCCGTGGCAACCTCAACGCTGCTGCTTACCGCGACCAGGTACTGGCACCAGAACTTCTGCCTTTTATGGCAGCACATGGACCCGGTTTGATCTTCCAACACGACAATGCCAGACCCCACACAGCAATTTTGACAAGGAATTTCCTTCAGAATGCGGGAGTCATCGTCATGGACTGGCCGTCGAGGTCTCTCGACCTCAATCCCATCGAACACGTCTGGGATGCTCTTGGCAGAAGTCTGCGCACTCTCCAGAACCAACCACAGAATTTGCAAGATATTGGCACCATTTTGCAGCAACAATGGCGTCGTCTTCCCAATCATGTGTTCACAAGCATCACAAGGTACATGCGGAGGCGTTGTGTGGCAGTTGTCAACGCACATGGTGGCCATATACGCTACTGAACTTGTGTGCCATCCGATTCTCGTGCTTGGGACTTATGATTTAAACTGTTGATGTTATTACCGAATACCGTAAGTGCTTGGAAAAAATTATGGTTACCACCGTTAATTAAAATCCTTCTTTGGACATTAATGATTAAAAATTACCTTCTCCGATACATTTTCCCGTTGTATATCATATATAGGATTACTTTTAAATATGTGAAGTTTTTAATTTGACTAAGTATAGCTTGCCTTAAGTCAAGCTACACATACATATTGTGTTTGTGAGTAAGAAATGCAATGTGATATATGACATAATACATCTATACAAGACATACTTATGTGCTGAGATGCTTTTATAATGTTGTGATATAATATCTGATTATAATTGAGAGCATTGTATGTGATGGCGTGCATATATGAAGTGCTGCTATACAAAGGAACCTTTTATCTCATTGCAACTACCTTCTTAGGAAACCGCTACCAACATAAAAGTGGTATCGAAATTATAAAAGCATAATGAAGAATGCAGCAATCATTCATTCAGACATTAAGCATCATAGATCGTGTTTTTTTCAGAGAATATGTAAATACTAAAGACAGATGCTCACATAGCTCACTCGAACGTTTGACAGGATATATAGATGTTCACAATGATATGTATGTTATGGTTGGTTGGTTGGTTTGCTGTTTAACGCCGCACTCAGCAATATTCCAGCATTATGACGGCGGTCTGTAAATATGTATGTTATGGTAACATACATATCAGTATTACCGGTACCACCAACATCCAAACATGGGACAGGTTGTTTGTTGACCCACATGTTGACACAGTAGTACCAGCTGGAGTCAACACAGAACTCGAGCTTGAAACAATGGTGGTGTTTAGGCCTGGACCTGTTGATGGTTCTTTGACAGTTGATGATGCGACAGTGCCTACAGTTACAGAGGTTGCGTCCACATCAATTGTGTTGTTTAGACCGGGACCTGATGATGGTTCCTTGAACGTGGATGATGCGACAGTGCCCAAAGTTGCAGAGGTTGCGTCCACATCAATTGTGATGTTTAGGCCTGGACCTGTTGATGGTTCCTTGAACGTGGATGATGCGACAGTGCCTACAGTTACAGAGGTTACGTTCACATCAATTGTGCTGTTTAGACCTAGACCTGTTGATGGTTCCTTGAACGTGGATGATGTTACAGTGTCCGTAGTGACAGAGGCCGTGCCTACATCAATTGTGTTGTTTAGACCTGGACCTGTTGCTGTGGATGTAGCAGTAACGATGGTGGAAGAAACGTTAATGGGCACAGTCACAGATGATGTTTCTCCTGAAACTTGGGAGGTGGATCTTTGGGTCGAGAGGATAGAGACTGAAGATTCGTCGGTAGAAGGTGAAACAGTACCTGATGTTGAGGACGACGAGCTGTAGTTACCAACCCTCACCACAACCTTGGCTGAACTACTCAAGTATGGGATGCCATCATCTGTTACTGTCACAGTCAGTTCATACAGTGTATTTGTGAGTGGTTTAAGGCTTCTGACTTCTCCAGTCAGTTCATTTATTGCGAAAACAGAAGACCCATCAAGACTGTAGCATAGTTGCGTATTCGGGTCCTTATCCGTAGCTTGAAGTTCAAGAATGGGACCTGTGAGTTGATCAAATGCAACGAATATCTCGTACATACTCTTCGTAAATGTCGGCTTGTGCATATTTTTAGGTCCAAATACCAGTGAGTAAGAGATATTAGTTGTTTTAGTCATGTTCTTGTGATAGTCAAATATGTGCAAGTAAAACTCATCATGGTAATAGGATGTCTGCCAGGCATTAGGTCCAACCAAAATCTTCTTCCCATCATCTCTGGTGACTTGCAGAAGTGTGTCAGTCGCGCTATCTCTTGTCAGATTGTTCACCAGGCGAGTGTAGGTATAGTTTGAGAAGGATCTCCTGGAAATCATAACAGTAAGGTCTACGTAAATATATGACCTGCTTCCCACTGTCTCAGTTCTTCGTAAACTGAAGGACATGACATTTGAAGAATTTACGGGAATTGAATAAAATCCATTTGAACTATCAAAAACGGCATCAGGCATTTCGTCCTCATCTATGATATCATTAACCAGAAAGTCGTCTCTGGTGTCATTTGGAGACTCGAGTCTCACCAGATGGACCAACTCGTGATATCCAAGGTCTTCCATAATGGATAACTGAGGATCACCAAGGGGGTTAATGTTCTCAAAGGTAGCTGTGTAGTTGTAAAATTTCCCCCTAAGGGTAGATGTTAGAAGCCAGCGAGCAGTCTTGGTCTCAAAGGACTCAATATCCCCAAAGTCTATAGACAGAGAAGGACTGACAGGATGTGTATCCAACTGCGCACCAATTATCTTGAAAGCGACCAACAATCCCTTCTCATTTTCAATGATCTCTGGCTGTGCAGAGGTGATCTTCAGCTGGCGGGCTACACCATATGCCCCATTGGAGACCATGACTGCAAGTGTGAAGGGAACAACTGGCTCTACCACATCTGAAGTCATTGGGTCATCCCCCTGGACATACTTCTCCTTGAAGTAGTTGACAGTGAGGCTGGGATTTGGTTTTACTGTAATTGTGTCTGGTAGGAGAGGGATGGAGAAATTCGAACCATCGACTGTGTAAGAGAGAGTCCCGCCGACATCATACAGAGTGTCCTCCTTGACTGCCGCCGTGGAGTAGGGTATGATAAGCCACTCTGCTGTACCTGACACATCTGTCTCTAGCCTGCCTGTACCATCAACCCCAGTAAGGCCCACCAGTGTTGGGATTCCTGAGGAAAAGAGAAGAAGGAATGTCCTACAGTTCACATTTCCTGTAAATTCTCATGCTTAAACCTGAATCACTTTCAATAAAAACAACATTACAGGGTTTCCATTTCAGTTCCTGTGATATACATGTGAATATAGATATGTACGACTCAAGTCCTTACCAACTGAAAATTTGTTATTCGTAGATGTTTCATCGCCATACGTGGCCCTGATGTTTACGGTGACCCGAATGCTTTCCAGGGCTGATTGTTCACCATTCTCTATCTCTAAACGAGCAGTGAATGCATCTCGTGTGAGAACCAGATCTTGCACAATACGTACTCGAACCTTTGCACACACTCCGTCATCACTGCCACTCTGAAAGGAGAATACATGCACTTTGAGACTACATAAAATCAACCATGTTCTGCATTGAATGATTTACATGTAGTCAGTAAATGAAGAGCAACATTGGGATGGAACACAAGGTAAATCCCTTAGTCGAGTACAATTCGAAGAAGTACACATGAGTAATTCACGTAACTGTAAGAGATATATATACCTTACCACCTTACTAACGGCAATATATAGGCTCGTCACATTGGCTTACGTATTTGTAATTATGTGTTTAGGGTGAACCGTCGATCGGACTTTTTCTCAGAAAAGCAAATATTAAACTTTTCAATGTTGAGGCAGACATAGGGTTCAGTTTAAAGCCAATGTCCTCACTATAATTAGTTTATAAGGTATCGACTGCGTTTGATGAATAATCGAAGAAACTATATAATAACATTTTTAAAAATCTTTAGAGACAAAATGAAATATATTGCCATGCTTGTGCAGTATTCACCTTCTTCTTTTCATTTTCTTGATAGGCTTTGACTGCATTTCCAAAGTCATCAAATATGGAGTCAAATCCTCTCTGCAATAATAAAACATGGCGCTAATATTAATTTGTAATACACAATTCAGATAATTTATATCAGTTGCTATCTACCTTAAATCGATTCTGTTTATTCGGATACAATTGCCATATTGACAAATTATAAATCTGCAGAGAATAACCACCCGACCCGTTAGTTACTAAAGACCAATTTTTACCGTGAAGGTTCAAATTGAAAACACGATATGTTTATATCTATTCTATTTTATATCCATGACAATATCATTATATTTTAGCAGGGATGTGGAGTCAATTGTTTTGAGTAAGGTCGGCGATTTGAATTTACGAACACCAGTAAGAGCCTTGAGATCACTGAGAGAGTGTAGCACTGCTTCTTCGCAAACAAACATGAAGCGGTCACCCTTTTAAGTTCTCTCTTGGACTTAAAATTTGAAATACACTCTGTTCTGTCGTATCTTCTCCCTGCAATGTATTGTCATACATACAAATTTCCACAGGGATGCGGCTGTCAGCTGTTTCAGGCAGATGTGATTCTTATGATTTGAAACGTCAGGCCAGTCAATCTTACAATGTTATTGGAGAATTACGGATCATATGTCCCTCTTGAATGAGTGCCCCCAACTTGAGTAACTTCTTGAGTTCCGAGGAGGTAATGTTATAAAGTACCCACTGCCCTTTCAAAAAAGAAAATGTATACTACACAAAAAAATTATGGGAACACCCCTAAATTTCATAGCCATGTATAAAACTTAACGTGGTTTGGTCATTAATGAACTTCAGTAAATGCAACTTTTTGTGTGCACTGAGGGCACTTTAAATGACGTGTTTAGTCATGCATTTTTGCAAGTGCTTCATTTTGTGACGAATTTGGTCAAATTGATGCAATGCTAAACCAGTAAAAAACTTGGGTGCAGAAAGACTCCCTCGCCATGTCAGATTCAAACGCCAAAACACAACAACCTAATGCACGTGAAAGTCAGAATTCCCATGCAGTTGGTGGCAACTTTTCTTTATAAAGAAGCTTCAGACACTGTGAAGTTACACATTTCCTTAAACATGCCCCAGCGAAGACTGTTAAGCATTCACGACAGGAGTAGGGCCATAGCGTGGCTACAAGATGGTGCATCCATAAAGAATGTTGCCCGTCGTTTTCAAGTATCGCCGTCTGTCATTCACAGACTGAGGGAACGGTTCCAGACAACAGGGAGAGTGCAGGACAGACCGCGTTCTGGTAGACCGAGAGTAACATCTAGGGCAGATTACCGATACGTTGTGCTGCAAGCCCTTCGGAACCGGTTCACAACAACCAGTGCTTTGCGACTGCAACTGAGACAAGCAACACACACCAACGTAAGCGTCTCGACCATCAGGAACCGCCTCAGAGCTGCTCATTTAAGGTCACGTCGTCCAGCTGTACGTCCTCATCTTCGTCCTCATCACCGAGATGCAAGACTTGCCTGGGTCAGGGCACATTTGAGATGGGATAATCAACAAAGGTCCAGAGTTCTCTTCACTGACGAGTCCCGTTTCTGCCTTGAGCATAATGATGGAAGGGTAAGGGTTATGAGACGTCCTGGAGAACGTTATGATGATGCCATTGTACGAGAAAGAAACAGATTTGGCGGTGGCTCTGTGATGGTACGGGGAGGCTCAAGTTTGCATCACCGAACACCTCTCTATCTTGGTCAAGGCAAGTCGAATGGAGTAAGGTATCGTGACGAGATTGTGCGCCCTCTTGTCCTACCACAGTTGAACAACTGCAAGATGACAATGCCAGACCACATCGGGCTAGAGTCGTTAGAGACTTCCTGCAACAGAACAATGTGACTGTGATGCAGTGGCCAGCATATTCGCCGGATTTAGCTCCAATTTAGCTTCTTTGGGATGTTCTGGGACGACGTGTCAGGGACAATCATGGAGTTGCACCAGATCTTCAGGTTCTGGTTCAGTGGCTCCAAATGAAATGGCAGGCGATTCCACAGGCTACCCTTCGCACCCTTGCAAGATCCTTGAGGCGAAGATGCACCGAATGCATCAATCAACGTGGAGAACACACCCGCTATTGACATTGTGATTTCCATTTTTGACCCCAACTTTCTTATACGACTTGTTCGTGTGTGCTTTTCAATGACAGCTACCTGTAAATGTTTTTGTTTTGCAGCTTGATAATCTGCTAATGCACAATTTTAATGATGCGATCACATGTCATTAAATGTTCCTTTTTATAACAGAATATTTTGGTGTTCCCATAACTTTTGTGTGTAGTATATAACATTTCAATCCTACACAGAAACATCAGTTTATCATATAATGGGTAGGTTTCTCGGCAGGATAAAGCCAACGGATAAAAACATATGCGGATAGAGATGCAAACATCAAAGGTTAAGTAGGGACTACTTTCAGTGTTTATAAACAAACATGACGTCGCCCTTGTCATTCGACGATCGAGTCAGAATTAACCCATCGAGAATCTGGAGAAACTACCGGGATAATTGCTATCATTATCAAAAGAACAGTCTAATATACTGAAAACCAGTGTCTAACTGTGACGTTGCTGAGGCATCTTATAAGTTTTGGCAACTTTGGAGATATAAATTTCGAAACAATTTTGCGAGGGCTGTAGGCCTTGCCAAGCGGGATCAGTAGCCAGATATGTGCTTGTAGACCTCTGCGGCTTGAAACCTTCTTCACAAATTAAAACGGTTGGATTTGGCCGTAATATGTTTGAATTGTTACCTTGTTTCGTTTTGTCGCTGTGTGTTCATCTGACTGCACTTCTTGACGTTATGACAGGACAGGCTTACTATCAACAACGTCTGAGCGTTGCCGTGACGTCTCATAGACTAGGGATATAGTAGCTTCCCTTTGACAAAGGGCAGTTACTCTAGCGGACAGACCGATTGATTGCCGCCAAAGGCAAGTAAAAACAATTGTGTTTTTGCGTATATGTTGCTTCGCCTATGTATAAGAAACAGATTTCAGTTGGAGCTATATTGGCTACTGTCACTGTCCGACTGACACATCACTTACCCTGTGACGTAATAAATATCAATGCGCGCATTCCAGGAAAACTCGCAATGTTTCGGTAATGTTTGTGAGAGAGGGAAAGCGATTTTCAAGCACAGAATGAAATAATGGCATGATAAAGAGGTATTCACACTTGTGTGTTTGGTGAAGGTAAATATCCTGCATTAGGAATAAACATTGTTTTTAGCGAGCCTTGGCGTGATAATCTCTATGTATTCAACCAGTTGTTCTGACGAAATGTTATCAATTCGGAACAATGGATGACGTTGTGATCTCATGAAAGGAACAATGTGACGTCATGCCACTTTAACTAACTAATAAGTATTGGGTATAAAATGCACATGAACAAATATGAAAAAGCTACTACACTGGCCCTGCCTAACTTTATGGATGAGGTGGCACTTGTCCCAGCTAAAACAATATTTGAATTCATATAGAAAACTCTAACTGCAATAATATGTAAATGTGTAAACTTTCCGACTTACTTGTTTGGCATTTTCTGTATCAGTCTTAAACTGCTGAAATCTGGACATGATGACATTGTAGGCAATGACATCGTCCTTAGGACCAAGTGAAGCAAGTGTTCCATCTTCCCAAGCTGTCCACGTTTTGTTCCACCTTTGGAGGAACTTCTCTACAATCTGACCCTGTGTGGAGTTCATCGGAGAAACAATAGACGCGATCTCACTGGAGGAGAGGGAATTTCCCCCTGCACTGTCATCAGCAAGGGCCAGGTTGAAGGAAGACACCCAACTGTTGTCAAACACACCAAACCTAAAAACAGAAATCATCTTGTATTACAAAAAAGTTGTATACGTTGGTGCATTTTCTATACATCAATCCAAGGCCCATCACTCTAAGTGCAAGAAGTTCGTGATTCTTGAATGCCATCTGAACAAGCAAATGCTGTTTCTCTATGTAAATATAGTCACATTTTCCCTCCCTAATACTACTGGAAAGAAAATGATATATAGAGAATCTCACTGTCTTTTGATTAGCAAACATATTGACAAAAGTCGATACAATTTTTTTAACTTTGAGGCAGATGTCATTGGATTCAACTGTAAGCATATAGCGTTCCTAGACACTGTAAACATTAGACTGTCAGATATGACAAAAGCATTACAAAAGAAACCATTATTATATGTTTTACTATCCAAACATAATGCCATTTTGGTTCGCATTTATAAACTGACATTCACAAAACGTTAGTAAATCAGTTATACCACAAAGTTATAGAGAGAATAATGATGGGACATCAGGATGTACATTATGCAGAAGTTGTCCTAATTACACTTTCAGTTTTGCATCGTTTTATGTTTTTTAGTTTAATGAAGTACACACTCAACCGTTGATGTATTTAAGAAAGAATTTTATTCTCAAAAGCAAATCTTGAAATCGAGTAACAGTAAAATCAGGGATGCAATAACTTCTACCTTTGACTTTTTATACCAGAGTAATCAATATATACCAACCATTACAGATATTTACGCTATCAGCGGTGCGTTATCATAACGAGACTCGGGCTGGTTTGGTCAAGACCAGGACTCAGCGTATACTAGAATGACCCAACTAGCCCAAATACATTAATACAAATAGCTCAATGAAAAGGAATATATGCTATGTAGCCTTGCTACCTCATTGTTTGGTGAGATAAAATGTCATGTATGAAACAGTTTAATTCTACAGGATTACATCTATATGATAAAACTGACCTTATGCCCTGACCACGTGAAAAAAGGGGTTAAAAAGTTTGCTAACACATTTGCTAGGAATCTGACTATAGGCACTATATACATCCCCATCGTCGAGTAATTACCTTACTTTTCCATAGATAGTTTTGATACAATTGGAAATGGTGTTATCAGTTATAAAGTGGATAATAGTGTCATACTGATTGGGGACCTTAACGCTAGTGTGAGTGAGTGAGTTAATATTTAACGTCACATCGGCAATATTGCAGCCATATCGTGACGAGACAAAATTTGACTATAATAATATATATGTAGACTGTATAAAATTCTGTCGACGAAGGACAGTAAAACAACTAGACTATCACAGATATATGTTTAAAACTAGTACATAACCATAAAATATGACAATTCATAACATTACAAAGGATAAAATAGGGCTATATATCACCAGCAACTAAAGTGAGGTCACCATACTGAGGACCATGGGGACTTACAGTACCTTTGCTACCTGCATGGACCCTTAACGCTAGAACTAAAGATGAACCAGACCACGTTTCCTTGATTGACTATGATAATACTGAATACTATGACCTACATGATGATATAATGTGCGAACTTGGTGAAATAATCTAGGAATACCTATATCGAGATACGCCAAGAATACTATTCAAGTAAACAACCATGGAAACAAACAACATGTACATAGGGCAAGATAACTGGTAGGGCGTGCTACCTGTAAATACACTAGAGTAATAGTCAAAGTGGTTTCCTCTACAGTGCAATCAACTCTATTTCTGAATTTGAGATAAATGAGCCGGAGCCTTTGTTTTCAAATGCACATAGTAGTATAATTATAATGGTTGGTCTACCTGTAAAAACAGCCAAAACTATAACTGATGAGTGTCAGGATAATGACAGAGAGGTTATCATGAGGAAAAGAGACTTATTGCCAAGGACATAGATAACATTTATATTACAAACAGTGAATCGTATGTCTGAAACTCAATATGACCAATAATACCAATGCCATAAATGTTGTAAACGAGGTTGTCAGTCAGTTAAGCAATGTATAAATTAAAACAGCCGAAATTATCTTTGATTCCTCAAGCATTTCATGAAATCTATATAAAAAAATACTCTAAAAAAACCGTAAGATTTGGTTTAGAATAGGAGTGTTAAACTGCAAGAGGTGACTATCAGGCGCCCAGAGCATATTATAAACATAAATGCACAGATAACTGGAGCTGCCTCCGCAATGTCAGTAAAGCATATAAACTCAGAGAAACTCAAACAGAAATAGTATGCAGACAAAATCCAACTAACTTTTTTATCGAACATAGTAGGAGATTTAACCGACAGCAAGTTATCTCCCATTAGGGATTTGCACGACCATTTCAAGAGGATTCGGCATGATACAGATCTTGTAATTAGTAGATCTTGTAGATCTTTGTAATTCATGTAATTTTAATGATTTTGAAACTGAAATCAGTAATAATATATTATATATAGGAATATCCTCGTATGAAGTGTGACAAGCTGTCAACAAGCTTAAAAAAACGGTTTGTGACATTGATTGACAAGGTGCTGGAACTGTATGTTACATTATTCAACTAAATATTGGATCCTGGATTCATCCTCGAACAATGGTCAGTAGGAATGATCAAATCATTTTATGAAAATAAGGTATTTGTCTCCTCTCCTGAAAACTAGAGATCCATTACTCTGCTCTGTTGTCTACGTAAACCCTTTATATCTATACAAAATAACAGACTGACTTTATTCCCGGAAAACACTGAAAGTGTGTCTGAAACAAAAGATAGATTTAGAAGAGGCAACTTAAAGGGTTAATCTTAAACAGTGTAGCCCTTACATCATCTAAAAGTTCATGTAACTTAACATTAACCTGTAAATGTTTACAAACTGAGAAAGGAAGGAGTAATATAATACCTATTGTTGAACGGGCCTGTACATTATGTAACCGAAATAACCTAGATGATGAATACTGTGTCTTATTTCTATGTGATTGTGGCTATTCAACATTTTCAAAGACATTAGGCACTCTTACACACTTGCATATCTTAGAAACAACATCTCTGTATGATTAATTATCCTTATTACAATCCAATAGAATAGGCGTTTAAAAGAAAATAATAAAACTGTAGAATAATTGTGCTACAAATGTGAAATAGTCGCCATCTAAATCAAATATGTTCCTCTGCTAACTTCCACACACTGTGCACATACTCTTGAATAGAATATAGTTCTGCTGGGTTCTGATATATGTGATAGCATAAGACTCAATGGTGAGATTATATTGAAGATCCAAATCATTCTGCAAACATGTTTCGCATATTAACAGTAATAACCAGTGTCTTGATGTTTAAACCTGCAGCTAACCAACTTCATTGCAAAAGAATCATTTGATACTGACGTAATGGTAACGTCACAATAACATGATAAGCAATTTCATTGTTGCGATATGTTATGTGGAATCCAGTTTGGGATGATAAATACCAACAAAATTGTGCCTTACATTTCTTGTCCTCCATAGAGTTCCTCCAACATGATCATGTAGTTCCTGAGGGCAGCATTACTGTTCACGACTCCTTGGATGATCTCCCCATTTGTAGCACGTCGAAGTCGTTTTGGATAAAAGTCCTTGTACTCTTCGTATATGCACCTAGAGCGAGTGAATGATTTGTGTTTAACCTTCTTAAACATGAATTCAAATATATCTCTAGATATCTAATCTATGATAAGAAAGCGCAATTTTTATATTAACCTATTTTGTGATTCCAATGATCCACGTTTGGTACTGATATTCCAAGGATCATTATCAGGGCAAAGAAGAGATTCGAATTTACGAACGTGCATAGAATAGTTATGAAAACTGCCATGTTTACTTCTGGCATGAAAGGACAAGGCACGATTGGGTTTATTACATTAAGGTTTGAAGAGTGTAAAACGTTCCAGATTATGTTTTGCCGTGTTTGTACTATCATAAGTACCTTCCACTTCCCAGTAAAACAGATAAGGTCAAGACTCGGTTTAGGTTCAAATATTAGGAAAATGCTAGTTGAAGACCTCAGATGTGTGTCTTAAATAATGCTGGCCCAGATCCATTTCCACATCACATGATTTTCGAACCTTTGCATAAACAACAAACAACAATGACCTTACTTAAAACACTTTACACCTTACATATTCTGAACTTACTGAACACCTTGCCACACTGTAAGGGCCACTTCACATTCAGCACAAACAGGCAGACATGCAGTAGCAATGTCAAAGATTGCTTTTGCAAATCCCAGGAAGCCACTGGCACCAAAGAAACCAGTCACTGCTACAGCACATCCAGCAATTGGATGAAAACCCAAAATACACGTCGAGATGAGTGTTCCAACAGAGTCACAGCTGAGTGGAGTCACAGGATTGTAGACAACTACTGAACTGGATGGAGATGACCCACCACCAACAGTACCTAAAACCAAAAACATGATTGTTTTAGTTGTTCGTACCCTCACATGATGAAAACAAACAGGATATACTGAACCGCAAAAGAAACGTCACCATGGATAGATATATGAGAAACCTTATTTGTCCAAACATTGTAAACATACTTTGAGAGATATTAAAAAGAAGAAACTTGGCAAAACTGATCATCAAGGTTGAAATTAAAGTGTCAAATGTTCTTAAAGTGAAACAAAACACAAATCTCTGTGAAAATGGCATCGCAAGTCAGTATCTCGTGTTTCCGCCGTGTGCATTGATGACTGCCGTGCAACGTCGATACATGGAATGGATGAGACGGTTGATGGAGGCCATAGGCACTTGAGCCCACACTCTGAGGGACGCCTGACGCAGTTCAGCTGCAGTTGTCGGCCTTAGTGGGACGTCATTAAGCCGTCTATGGATCTCGTCCCACAGGTGCTCAATGGGATTTAAATCGGGACTGAAGGCAGGCCACTGCATGGTTCTGATGCCATTCTGCTGGAGGAAGTCTCTTGTTGCTCTCGCAGTGTGCTGAAACTCGTGGTTGCGGTGACGTGCCAAATGAGGTACACGTGTGGTCTCAAGACTTGATCAATGTACCGAGCTGCTGTAACACCATTGCCTCTCCCTAGACCGATGTTCTGGAAGACCGAAGACCCACCCTTAGTACAAGACAAATTCCACACCACACCATGATTCTCGGACCACCCCACGAGTCTCTCTCAATAACACAAGCATCCGAATAACGTTCCCCACGGCGTCGCCATCTGCTGTTGAGACACAGTTGCGGCTCTCGTCTGAAAAGAGGACTCTTCTGCACTGCTGATGGCGCCAAAGCTTGTGCTGTGTTGCCCACTGAAGACGGTCCCGGCGATGACGTGGTGTCAGAATGGGAACTCGGTGTGGCCTGTGACGGTGGAGGTGTCTGCTCGTCAATCGTCGACGCACAGTGTCCGCACTAATGTGTCGCTGGTGTGTTTCCATGGTCTGTCATACAGTTTCCACAGCAGTAACAAAGCGATCTTGAAGATGCTATCGCACAATCGGACGATCCTGACGTCGGGTGGTGACACTTGGTCTTCCACTACGTGATCGGTCCTCTGTAGTGTTGGTGGTCTGGTACCGTTGCTGGAGCCTGTATATTGTCCTTACGTGGAAGTGAAATGCATTGGCTACTTGCCGGGCGGTTTGTCCTGCTTGCAATCGTCCTTGAGCTTGGTGTCGCGGATTTCTTGTCAATCATGGCACGTGGTAGCAGTTCAATAACAAATGAATGTTATCCGATCTGGGCGGATTTAATAGGGCAAGAAATGGGGGAACGCATGTGCATTTCAATTTTGCACGGAACTCACGTGCATCGGGTTACCATGGCCGTTGCCGTGATGCATTTGAGCGATCGGTTTTATTGTCATTTGCTTTGTTTTTTTATCATCAAATTTCATTTTTCCGGACAAGGAAATGCTAAATTTTATAAACTTTGACAAAAATTACCCAGATATTTAAATTACAACTTTGCATGCAATGTTACTTGGGTGACGTTTCTTTTGCGGTTCAGTATATATAGGATATGAGTGATCTCTGAAAGCATATTACCTGATATCCCAACATAACGAACTTCTCCACCATCTCCTCTCCCTCCACCACCTCCGCCTCCTCGCCCGCCTCCTCCTCCGCCTCCTCCGCTTCCTCTACCACAGGGCAATGGAGGTCTTCCTGGATACATCCTTGTCAATGTGATGTCCTGGACTCCAGTTTTTGTACCACCACAATAGTAATCGTAAAGCATTTTCAAACCACATGCTGATGTGCCTAGGTTCCTCTTCACTCGAGGCTTCAGTTTAACCAAGATTGGAACAATGATGCTTGTGTTTGCCTCTACATCTCCTATGGGATCTATTTTCTATGAAGAAGAAACAGACAAATGGTATTACACCTTTTACGCATACCTATCACATTACATTGTAACTTACCATACTGCTTCATATCACTGCTGAAATAATATTTGTACCCACCTTCCCAGTCTCATGGTGCATTTCATAGCAAGTAAGTTGATTTGTGTATAACGCCACTGAAAATATTATTTGAATTTGAGTGTCATGTTTCATATTGAAAATATATAATTAAATGGGATGTGTTTACTTTGAGTACACCCGATCACCAATAAAATTCCCAAATATATTTATGTTTAGCATGCTTCAAAAAGGCATCTACGAATGAAGCTAAAGGTGACAATTTAGGTGAGCAAGACATTGTAACTGTGGTGTTTCTGTTTTTTAAACTGCGATCAGCGGTTCCTGGTATGGATAAGGGATGCAACTCTCTGACTCTTCCATCTTTTATTTGAGAGGAATTTTGTGATTGAGTATAGCCACCTTTAGCAATATTCCATCACTATCATGCCGGGGGACATGAGACATGGTGTTCACCCTTACTACACATGTGGGTATGTGATAGAAAGAAGCAACATATTCACCTGTGTAAAGATCAGTGTTGGATGACTTGGCAGTGTAAACCTGGCATTGTCTGCCCTTATCAGGCCATGGTTGGTGATGTTGAAATTGATCACATATTTCTTCCCTTCTTCATAAGGGATCAAATTGATGTTGGCTGGCTCCACCGTGACAACAGCCATTGGTACCTTCACAAGTGATTCATGTGTATTAGTACATATCAGTCGCGTGTAATCATGCCGTTGCTTCATGTGGAAAGAAATGTACAAAAAGACTACGTTTTCCTGACGAGAATAATTGTTTTGACGAATTAGACTTAAAATGTATGTTGAAAACCCTCAATTAAATTATTAAAATAATTAGCATATGTACTGCATAAATAACTAGTGAGTCAAAGGTAAATTCACTTCCCTTTAAGTAGCATTAGTGTTTCCAATTTACCTGTGTTTCAAAGGTAGAATCCAGTGTGATTATGTATTTGTCCTCAAATGTTGTGGGGGTAACAGTCCAGGTGTATTTCACAGCAACTCTTTGTAGGAAAATGGTGAAGGAGGACTCTGAGGGTTTCGCAATGACTACAGCTGAGTAGGATCCATGTCCTGGAGCAGTGGCTGTCAGCGAGTAGCGATCTTCGTGAACCTCCCCAAACACAACATAGTCTGTGAAAGATAGCAGCTCAACCATTGCAAAAATAAAAATTGTGCATTTAAGAAACCAACGTCTGCCTTATATTGCATGTAAAATAAATATATAATATTAGCTATTAAGACATGGTTAATTTGTCAATATCACTTTCGAACCGTCCCTGGTTTGCATGCATGAAACATCAAAATACAGTTCAAGAAACTGAATTAAATTTAACATAAACATGGGGTTTGAAACTTAGGAAGATGATGAACAACATGCCTGTTTGGTTGTTGGTTATTCTCTGTTCCGTGTACCCTCTTCTAGGGTTTCGAAGTGTCACCACAGCTCCAGACACCAAAGGTTTGTCAGAAGCAAAGTATGTGTATTCATCTTCTACCCGAACTTTGATGTTCAGTTTCTCCTGGGATGTCACATAGAACCTGTAGGAGATACTGGCCGATGAGAGATCTGAGTTCAGGGCCACGCTGCCACTAAACTGCCCAAGACCATCAGTTGCACCAGTCGTGACTGTCAATACCAAGATGGCCGTCTCGTTTTGATGTAGGTCAAGGCCATCTACTGAAGCTATTCTAGTTGTTGTGGAATAGGCAGATATCGCGAGTCTTGGTTCTGAAGGCATTGTTACTCTAAGTGATTTAGCAGTGACCTGACCTTCATTCTTTATATACACCTGTTAACATGAGCAGACAGAAATGTACCATTCATAGCATTCCTGACATTCGAGAACTGATGTTGAGGCGATTTATGGGAATACTTCTGACACCACTATATAAATATAAGACGAGTCATGAACGCCTAGACATAAGAAAAGTCCACTGAAGTAATTCATTTGACATCTTTACTTTGCCCATTATTCCATTTCAAAGGACATACCTGGAAAGTTTTCTGTGTTCCTCGAGGCACACTATCTGACAGGGATGTTGGTGAGAGGACCAGAACAGGTTTCCTGACATTTAGCTGCAATCCTATTCTTACTCTGGCTTTGGTGCCATCGGGTGTGCTGAACACAACAGCAATAACGCCCCGGAGAGGACGGGATGCTGTGAGGATCAGATCTATGGACACTTCAGAATCTTTGTCCAAGAATATTATTAAGGGTTGAGAACTATCACTTGATAGTCTGTTTCCAGCTCTCACATCTACAGATGTTAGTGGACCACCAGTTCCCTCCACCTATAGCGCAAACATAGACTTATTGATGACATGTCAACATAATGTATCATCAGACAAGAAGAGATAAAGAATACATGCTTGTTTAATGTAGTATGCTGTTGTCGATGTACGTTTCAGTGCTTTCGGTGACAGAACATGACAATAATGTCTATACCATTTATTATTATTCATGTACAGGTATTGTGAAACGCCATGCACAACAGTACTGCATTTAAACTCACCCTAGCTGTGATGCCTTTGATCCCATTGACTCCATCATTCTTGAGTACAGTAACACCTCGCATCTCCACAACGTCCTGGTCCAAGTAGGTATGTCTGTTTATATATCCAGGCACGCATGTCATCCCCAACACACTCCAGGATTTCTGAGGAGTGAACCCACTGTCTGCTGGGTGACGGCCATCCTAAAGTAGAAACAACTTCGTATTGATTACGCAAGGACATCACACCATTACATACACTGTCACTAAAAACCATATGTTTTTTCAGCATCGAACACCAAGTGGAGATTCTAAAATTAAAGTTTACAGGAATATTATATTAATTGAAGGCTTTATATCTTCCAGTCACCTAACTGAAGGATAGAAGACATTAGTATACTTCACCACTTCAAACTGTCCACTGTCACCAGCCTTTGGAAAGTACATTGCTTCAATACGTTCCCTGTTCCTCGTTGATGTCACAATGGAAATCTTTGTGATTGTGCCTTTATTTCGTACCCTTATAAGAAAACACCATTAGGTTGAGCATGCTGCTGTTAATCGCTTGACAAATCAGTTTTCAAGAAACACACTTTAACAATCTCTGAGTGCAAATATATCCTCATTGTTAAGAATGGCATAACATAGGATTAATATTTAACCATTATCTTTGAAAATAACTGAATTGACTCATTATTAATGTGATAGATGTCAATGCGATGTTAAGCTTTAACTCACTACTGTTGTCAATGAATACATAAAAAAAGATAGCATGTATACTCACTTCACATCCACAAAAGCAATCAATGATTGAGACGTTTCAGCAAAGTAAGTGACCATTCCACTGATTTGTATGGTTTTGGGATAAGGAAGTACCCCACTAGGCGTCACCTCTTCTATTGTTATGTTATAGGACAGCTGGACTGTCAATGACCATTGGACCTCTGAACGTCCTACACGGTTGGAAGCCCTGGCGTTGATGATATATGGCTGGACACTGGCGACGCTCCTCTCCCAGAAGATGAGCCCAGTCTTTAGGTCAATTGCCATTCCAGGTGGAGCTCCAAATAAGTACCAATCAATTGGAGCACTGCCCTGAATATTTACATTGTTATAAACGGGGAACCATTGTGTTCAATTGGCCTAATATTTAATTGACCTAACATATTTCAGAAGCCACAAGCTGTGCAGATGCGATGGGTATTATATTTATGTCACCTGACTCTTGCTTAAGATGCACTGACAATGTGACAGGTGCACACGAGCTGAGTTGGACAACAATAGTCCAGACATCGTTTTGACGTTTTGTCAATGAAATTTGAGTACTTATTTTCTCAATCACAAATCATATAAACGCGGTAATTAACATGGTGACATTCATATCATATTATATACCCAGTTTGATTGATGTGAATGATTGAAACAATCATGCTTTTCTCTGCATCGTGCTAACCAGGAAGTTCCGTTTCCACACAGGTATACACCATTACCAATTGATGTATGATGACAACGCACTCAACAAGTGTCTGTTAGGACAATTGTTAATAATGTGTAGCAGCTCCATATTAAGTAGGATACAACTTACCTCAGTGAGTGTTAATTGAAGTTGATATTCATTTCCTTCAGCAGCAATTTGTTTCTCTTGAAAAGGAGAAATAACTGGTGCCTTCAACTCGACATTGCAGTCCTCCCCTGACCAGGGTAGTATACACACACATCCCCCAAAGAAGCAGTGACCATGAGGAGGAGTGGCTGTCTTCCCACACGCTCCAGGTGGACACACTTCATAGTAGGTGAAAGCTGTCTGGACAACAGGAATATACACAACAGGGGTATCAGACATGATGTTTTTGCACACAAAACTCTTTCCATCTGTCACGTGCATTTGTGTATTTAGTTATTAATTTTGTAATTAGTGTAAGGCAAACTTTTAGTAAAGTACCATTCACATATTTACCTGATTTCGCGTAAAATGTAGTCCATCGGGAGAAATCTCAATAGTTACAATGCGCGCTTGATGCTGAGGATTCTTACAAATGATGTGTTCCTTTGACAGGCGTGTGCCACTGACCACTGTGGAGTCAAATCTACAGAAGAAGATGTTGTTTTCTGTCTCCGGGAAGTTGTGTCCCCAGATGTGGACGTCTGTACCTCCAGTGTCAGGGCCAGAGCTTGGGATGATGTTGAGGACATTAGTGTATGGAAGGCAGTTGGGTCCATAAAACGTCTCACTGCACGTGTCACACAATTCTCCTGACCAGTTTTCAGTAGCACATGCACAGTCGCCTATTTCAATTGGACGTGACGTGATCATTCAAAATGGCATCAAAATGTTACAAATACAAATGTGCAGGAAGACAAACACATACCTGAATAATTCTAGTAAATAAGATGCTATGCAAATAAACACATTGAATATTTCAATACCTGTGGTCATATGTTAACAATACCACATTGAATAAATTTATAAACGTTGGTCACAAGTTTCAAAGATTTCATACCTAATGAGATTAAATGTAAACATTTACATAATTGTGTTATTCATTACTTACCATTTGTGAGGTTGCATGATCCATGATTACACTGAGGGCAAGGAAGGCAACTGTCTCCCCATCTCAGCTGTGCACACTGGGAGCAGTCAGCTCCACTATACTGGGGGAAACATGTACACTTCTCAGGCAACACACAATATCCTCTTTCATCTCCACCACAGTCGTTAACCTCATGGCATGTAGCAAGCACACAGGATAGACCCTCCCATCCCAGAGTACAATCACACATGTTTGGCCCTATACAGAAACCGTTTCCATTACAGTTGCCAACACCAGAGCAGTCAAAGTCAGAACAATCCACTCCAGCCCAGCCCGCGTCACATCTGCATCCATTTGGACGAACACATTCGCCCTTATCACTGCAATTCTTCACCCCAGAACAATCGAAATTTTCAGTGAGGATTGGAAGGAAGTCTACTCTAAGAAGCCTCTGGTCAAGATCCTTGTCTAGAATTCGTTCCCTGACAATAGCTGGATCAGCACTTCCCCACCAGTTCTGCTCAGCGTTTATTTCCTCCTCTCCAGTCAACAGAATCTTCAGTTCATAATCAGCTCCCGGGTTATCAAACGTGTTATAATGAAGACTAACGTTTTTCGAGTTCAACATGACTGTTGCTTCACTGGTGGGAGAATTGAATATCTGGTTATAGGTGAGCGTTCCGTTAAATTGAGATTTTGTTGATTTCACATAAACAACACATTGACCTGTAATATTTTGGAAACTATTAGTAGACAGACTAATATTCTGAGTTCTGCCACCATTTCTTGTATTATGTATATCCACAGCAAAGAAACACTTGTCTCCACCGAAGGAATTCTTGAAAGTATTGTCTTCAATGAAGACAGATGTGTCGTATTCTGAATACATTGATACTGGGCCAGTTAATTTGAAAATATTCCCTCTGATGATGCATCTATTGTTATTGTAAATGTCAGAATCACTATGCAGTCTGACATCCATAGACTTGCCATTGTTACTAAATGTATTCTGTTCAAGGACCACCATGGTGTTCAACTGGAGGGACTTATTTAGTTTAAGACCCGACCCTTCCCAAACATGATCCACAAATTTGTTGTGCTTGATTTCTAACATTGTAGCGTCCTTAAGTCTATTTAACTGTGTTTCCAAACCATGAAGAGTGTTATTTATGATGTTCATGTTTTCAACAGTTGTGCTGGACATATTTCCAGATAAGATTATTCCACTTCCTTGATTGTGTTGTGTCGTGCCATTCCTGAGACGGAAACGTTTAGAAACTTTAACCCAAATACCTGTTGACCGTCCATGTTCTACAACTGTTCCATTCAGGTCAATGTCGATGGAATCAGTCTGGATCATAATTCCTGCACTTTCTGTGTTGTTGATGTGACAGTTGGATAATCGGACCGTTGGAGTCTGCACCACAATACCACGTTGAGAATCAAGGATAGATACACTTTTCAGGTAGGAGACTGGAAAAATAATTTTTAGAATCACAGAAGATACAGAAGTCCACCTTTATTAAATGATGTGGTATTTTACGACTCAGGATGTGGTAAACTCATACTTCACATTTCAATAAACATTAACTGTTAATAATTTAACTTGTTTTGCCGTCGGCTATGTGAAAATTGCAATGCCTCAATAGTTAGAGCGATCTTTGCTCCACTTACTCTTATGGAAATATGTACTTAATCCAACCATATCCATAACTATCAGTTTAATCATCCATATGGATATAATAATCTTCCTTACATGTGTGTGATCCTGTATGAGCTACAAACTGATGGCATCTGACTCCAACATCTCGATTATGGTCACAGTTTCTACTGGTAGAGTAGCTTGGCTGGCACTCAGAGAGGGAGGAGGCCATCACATCACAGTTCAGATCCTGGAGAACAGGTCCACTTCCTCCACCATGCTGGTAGTTTGCAAACTCTCCTGATCTAATTATGTAACATGTTGTTAATATTGTATCTTATCAATACTGAAAACATCCATTGATAAAACAAACCTAACAGGATAAGCAGTCTTGGTCGCCAGATTTGAGATGGAGAAACTGTGTTTTCAATGTTAAGGTGTCAAATAATCCATTCATTTGACATCTGTCTTTATTTTCTTGACAAACGAACGCATTAGCGTGAGCTTTAGAAATGAAACATGAACAGTTTGAATACATAGTTATATTTCTACCAGCACAAAATGAGAAACTAGATGCAAACTCTGTGGTAATAGGATATGTTATGAGTCATGTGGCATAATTTAAGTCAAGTAGTTTCAGTCGGTTGAATAGCTCAATTGAGGGATCAGTTACGATCAGTCTTGAAACATATATGTTTACTTTCAGATACTTAAACTATAATTATGACTATAATACCTCAGTGAAAGGCAATAAAAGCGAGATACCATCAAAGCAACCATTGCACACAACAATACATAATGTTTTACAGAAGGTACATGATAACGTAGCAACAAATGTCCAACTGTGAAACTCTCTCAGTCGTTGTTCACAACGTTACGCATCTGCAATATTTCGTCACACTTTCTGGAAGGTATAGTAAGTAAAATCACTATTTAAAAAAAGATCAGTTGAGAAATAAGTTTTATGAATGAATATTTCCTTTCCTTGTAGGCTGCCACTAACAACATAATTTAGTATACTGGTACTGGTGAACTAATGAGAATGCCGGATTTTGTAAATGTCGAAAGTAGAGGGAGGCCATAGGTTCTTCTCCGAAAGAATGGTAGAGAGTGGGTATGATTTAAAGCCACTTGTAGCAATAGTTCAACCCTGGTTCAAGCACGTAGGCTCCATTACATCAGTTAATGATGAAATCGCAAAGATCAAGTACAAATTGGCACTATGTAGTAGGAATCTGAATCATACTGAATGATATAATGATATACAATTTAATCCAAATCCTTACAGAATAATATTTAAAAACGTCCCTGCTTCACTGTACATATTGTATTCACAACTTTGGAAAAATTATATGTCACATTATGAACATTATTCATATATTTATTATGAACATACAGACCCATAACCCAATGCCCTGCAGACAAGAAGCGCCTCATTTCTGTCAATTGTGGACACGGTTGACCATGACCCATTCACGAACACTTCAACTCGTCCTTCATTAGCTGTTGTTCCGTTGACCAGTCTGACCATCTTAGATACCCCATCTGTCAACAACATCGTGACTGTGAAGCAAATGTTTGCAAAGAGTGTGTCAATTACACATCAGGAATGACTTGATATATGATTAATTGCAATCATATTCAGTTCTCATTCTGAAAAAAAGGTATTGTCTTGTCTTAGGCACTGTGTACATCTGATGATTGGGTGATCGAAGCACAGATTTATTCTGATCTTTGTATGATCCTGTGACTTTTAGCACCATGTCCATACTGCTGTTTTTTTTCCCAAATGGTACATATGTTCGACCTACGCAACTGTGGCCTTACCTCGAACCAACATGCTGCCACAGCGTGGTGATGCTGAAATACAAAAGCTAAATACCTGTCTTGAATGGAAGAACAATGCCAAACCAGGGCTCCTTTGTTGCGCTTGTCAATATGACTCGTTCTGCAGTACTACCCTCTCCAGCCACAAGCACGCCTGTGAGTAAAAGGGATGACAATAACTGTCACTACAAGATCAGGAAATATCAGGAGATGTCATTGGGAACCTTAATCGTGAATTTCACTTCGCTTGCTACATTGTACATCTCTACCTCTTTACATTGACAATATCGTCACCGATTTGATAATGACCAATTTATGTAAGAGTTCCTACCATCAACATAGATTCCTCTATTCGGTTGGAATAGTAGTTCCACGCCCTTGTCAATGCGTAATATGCCCTCCGGTCTGATAATAAAACACATATGTGATGTTTTAGTGAACATAGGCTTCGCGACAATGTCAATCGTGAATTTTCAGCACAAGTATTATAAATTGGATAACTGTGGGATTTACATGATCCAAATTATACTGACATCTAGTTTGTACATACCTGACGAATATTGATCTCCAAATCCTGTACGGTGATGCAGACGTTTGAAGATGTACCTGACTAGTGATCTCACCACCACTGAATATTAGGTGATCACTTGAAATATCAGTTAATTGTTCAGACAGGTAGTAAGGCAGATAATGCACGAATCCATTCACCATGCCAATATCAAATCCATGTATTCTGTCCACTATATCATCCATCTCCCGCTTCCCCCAGAAGTTCCATCGGGCATCAATGGCATACCATCTTTCAAACGTTGGGGCGTCTAGTTCACACTTGGCAGATGGGTTACTAAAAACATTGTTCTTCAGTGTGATCTGATAGGAAGAAACATTTAAAGTCTCGGAGCATATGTTATCTTTGAATATGTTTTTTGTTATGCCCACTTTCCCTTCGAGTTTTCTAATTATTCCAAGGAATATTACCTGGTCGGCTTTATTTGCAGAAAATACATTGTTGGCTATGCTGACCTGACTTCCTCCTGCATTTATGTCGTCAAGTATTTCAATTAAAGCCTTACCAGATAGACGTAATGTGGTGTTCTTGACAGTATTATTTTCAAAATAAAAACGAAAAGGCTTGTTGTGTGGTGGACGTAGCCAAACAATACCGCCAGTAATGTTTTGGAATGTGTTGTTGCTAATAAATATGGCATTAGATTCGTGTTCCAACCAAAACGAAAAGATAGTGCCAGTTATTTTGTGGAAAGTATTGTTAATGAACTCAATTTTTAAGCCTCTTAAATTTGAAGCATTAATATCAAACATATATGCCCCGACATCGTTACCTGTTAAAACATAGTCATGGAAATGTGAGTCACTTAAAGTCATTTTTAGATTACTTGCAATCCTTTTGAATCAATTTCAAACACACCATTGGTGCCACCAGAGAAATTTGAGCCCAGAATGTTTATTAAGGCATCGCTGTCCATGTGGATAGCTTGATTTGTATTCCTAAAAAAGCTGCATGATGTCAAGGAAATGTCCACATATTGCTGGATGTAAACACCATACTCTCCATTTGATCTTACATCACAGTTAGATATTCTGATTTGTGAAGCGAAACTAAACTGGTCATCCGTATTCACGGCAACTGAGATCCCTGACAAACGGTTGTGCATTGTTGCCAGTCCATGAACATGAACATGACACACTCCTCTCATTCCAAGTTTGAAAGTGACACCATGTCCACCTGAGTAAGATGATACAACATCCTCCATGACTGTAATTATTCCGTTGATTTCAAGACCAATATCCGTGTCATTCATTTGGAAATGACGAAGCTGTACATCACTTCCGATATCTACAATTAAAATATGACCAAAAGTAAACAAACTCTTTAGTTTTGGTAAAGCATGGTACTTGATTTTCAGTTCTACTCTTCTAGTTCCAGATATGTGTGAAGACACTCATTGTTTGCATAAACAGGTACATGTAAGAGTTTGTTGCCTGACCCAGCACAGCAGTATTCCTGCAAGGTGACGGTGGCCCAAAACAATCAAGTGATCGATGGGCTAGAATATTGAAAGAATTCAAAAATATCTCGCTTTGTAAATCGTAATCCAAAAATAATTTGACTTCCACACATTCATCCAGTCACCATAGAAGTGTAAAAGAGTTAGCACAAAACGTGTACATTGTTTGTATGAGTTATTAACATAAAAGGTCCACCATAACAGGATGGGGATCTGAATTTCATTACATTAAACTACATGTGATAGACAAGGTACCAAAGATAAGACAAAATGGTTGATTACTTAGAAGGGTGATTGAACAGTGATGAACACCTACCTTGAAGAGGCAGTAGTTTCTCACTGCATCGTAACGCCACATCCTGTGTGTGGTTACAAGTAAACGTTGGTCCTTCACATTCTAGCAGGGTGTCACCAGTGCCTGCACATCTAAGGTTGCAAATGTGTATGGGACCCGAACCTTGACCAAAGTCCATATGGCCAGAAGAAACGTCAGATGATATTGTATAGCTGCAGATAGATAGATACAAGTATATATTCAGACAAACATTTGTTCAAGAAAACTCACAAACATATATGTCTAAAGGTTTATGTTGTGATCTAAAAGGGTCAAGGCATTGTGTTCACAAACTCATATAACAGTACATTCATTTCAGGTGATTTCAATGTCTACACAAAAAGGCCATATTAGGTTTTTGTTTTTGTTTGACACAAGATCTGACTGCATGTGTGTCATTAAGGATACAGCCATTATTTTATTTTGTATGTTTGTTTGTTTAACGCCTCACTCGTCAATATTCCAACTATATGACGTTGGTCTGTAAATAATCGAGTCTGGACCAAACAATCCAGTGATTGACATAATGAGCATCAATCTACGCAATTGGGATACGATGACATCAACGAGCCTGACCACCCACTCCCGTAATTCGCCTCATACGACAAGCATTGGTTGCTGAAGATCAATTCTAACCCGGAACTTCACGGGTTATAGCCATTATTAAATTAACTTCAAACATCAAAAGTTTGCTGACAAAGTTATTATTATCATTGGAGCTTCGGAATGTATGTATTAAATGCATCATAGTGTACTACCAATGCCTACAACCAACCTGTGACTCACATTTGTAAATAGACCCTTTATTTACATGTAATAGTATTGCTACATAAAGAGGACACGTAATGGAGGTTGTTAATCAAGTGGCGTTGTTAAACTGATATTTTGAGGAGGGGCGTGACAACGATCGTTAATTATTCGGTGTGTTATATAATTAAATTTGATGTTGTATGATTTTACTTCTCAGACGTAGTGCTCGAACCGTGACCCGTTCGCTTCAAGATGGAAAATAGTTCCAACTTTCGAGACGAAGAAAATGATAGAAATTATTTGATAGAACCAAACTGAAGTCATCAAGGGAGAAAGGACTTGACAGACAATACAACTGAGTTGAATATGTTTAGGAAGACACAAACAAGCCTTGCAACTGTCATTTATCAAGTGTCAAGTTTCTTGAACCATCGTCAAGGGATCTCTTCTGGCCATGATGTCGCAGTGCCGCTACAGCAATCCTGACCCTGAGTCACAACAAGTGGCCCTTGGCATTTGACCAGTGGCGATATATGATATCAAAACTCTTGAGAGTGACGATATCAGTTTATCGTTACTCGGTAGCGATAGGGCTCTTAGTAAGGATAAGAATTTATGGATGAACAACTTCTTTATTACAATTAAGAGCGACGTTTCGGAGTAGGTTCTAACACCGTTATCAAGCAAGTGATGATAACTTGCTTGATAACGGTGTTAGAACCTACACCGAAACGTCGGTCTTAATTGTAATGAAGAAGTTGTTCATCCATAAATTCTTATCCTTACTTAGTACACCAACTTCTAAATGCGTTTCAAAGAAGATAGGGCTCTTATTTGACTAATAGATTCGATCTCACAGCCAATTATATAATTATTTTTAGCTATTTTTCTACAATAAAACACACATATGGCCATACTCAATTGAAACAAATGAGTGTTTCAAAGTTAAATTACAGTCCAGTTTCAAGAGAGCAAATGCTTTCAAATGATAACGTTGCATCATGAACAATGTGGAATGACCACATAGACTTGAACCTTTGGTAAATATAAGCCAACCATGCATATAGGGTGTTCCCTTTTCAATAGATTATCTGTGGGGATTAAAATGAAGATTGTGTCCCCAGCATCCTTGCCTGCTGTCAGAGATGACTAAAGAGAATCAGTTATGTGGTTCATTGTATGCCTTCACCTGGTCATTACTTGAATAAGAGTCGATTATGTACTAGCAGCAGAGAATGATGTTGGCTGCGGTGTTAAACGACCTCAGGACAACTTTTATTCGTTATAATTTGATATACAAACTTATTGAAATGAACACTCACTCATATCCAAGTATTCGGCACACAACTTTTGCAGCATCTCTGTCAAAACCATCATCACAGACAGTCCCCCATGTTCCATTAATCTTGACTTCAAGACGTCCCTCATTCTCATTCATCCCCCCGACGAGTCGGACACTTGTGTCATCAATGGGAAGCAAACGGTCTGTTGCATTAAAACAATGATTATGTATACACACCGTGGCGACCTTGAACGTGAAATTATATATACTTATTCATCATGGATGTGTAATAAATACAATTAATAAGGACAAATTGCCAAGTTAGACGCTTTTTCTTTCTGTAAAGCTGTTTGCAATATATATTTGACAGCCATTATTCATATAAAAGATCATGGATAATGGAATAAAATATAAAATATTTACATTCTTCCAATCTTAATATTTTACAAGATTCAGAGGCGTGACATGTGTACATCATCGGGTATAGGTTTTGTTATCTTGCAATAAATCTTCAGACCAATTCCTAAACACATACCATGTATATTAAATTGGCAATATGTAACGTACAATTATTTCCTTGTAGTCTTACTCCAGTCCATTTCATCCCAGGAGTAACTGGCATGGCCCTCACAGGATGACTCGCATTGCCGTGGACAATGAGTGTACCTAAATGAGACAAAAGTTTACACTTAACATAAGGTCATATTAGTCCACGTTGACTCCTTTATAAATCCATTGATAAGACTACATTGAACCGAAAATAACTCGTAACAATACAACAATCGCCACACTCATGCACAATATCGGTTTCCATTCTTTATGACGGTTCGAAAATAAGTCTTTCAGTATATTATAAGGCAATGGTTCAAGGCCATTAATCATGACCCGGCTGTATATGGGGCACAGACGGTTGTCAACACCTTCGCTTACTGGACAACAGCTATGGAGCTACGTATGTACAAGCAATTAAAACCCATTATGTATACTACTCAAAAGAAGTTAAAGAACACCCAAATAAGTTATCAAAATCACTCAAAAAATAAATCGTGGCCACAGGAACAACACTGATTGGGAAAGATAAGTATTTAATCATGACATTTCATTGACGAAAGAAACGCTGGCATACAGCTGACCAGAGCAAATCAATATGCATTGCATGTACCCTATAAATCAAAAGTCACACACTACAGTTCAGGATAATCCTGTTCCTTCAATATCGGGTAGGCCCACCCCTGGAAGCAATACAGTTCTGACATCTTCTACGCATAGATCGAACAAGCTGCCGCAGTGTTGTCTGTGGAATTGCTTGCTATTCCTGATGAAGAAATCCTAACAGTTGCTGGAGATTAACAGGAGTTGGGTGGTTAGCTTGAACGGCTCTTCCCAAGGCATCCCAAAGATGTTCAATGGGCGCCAGATCTGGCGAATAAGCAGGCCATTGCATAACGGTAATCTGCCTTTGTCTGTGATAGTCAGTGATATTCCGAGCGCGATGGGGTCTTGCATTGTCGTCCTGAAGGATAGCACCTTGACCAATCTGACGAAGTGTGGACAATACCAGGGGTTCAAGAATCTCATCACGGTACCTGGCAGCATTCAGATTCCCGACAATATGGTACAGAGGACTCCTATGATTCCAACTGAATCCTTCCCATACCATCACTGATCCCCCACCAAAAGCGACACGTTCACGTACTGTGGCATCAGTGAATCTCTCTCCAGTACGACGCCAGACCCGTATTCTTCCATCATTGAGCTGCAAACAGAATCGCGACTCGTCTGTAAACAGTACACGAGACCATTGCTGTCTGTTCCAACGCACATGTTGTCGACACCAAGCCAGACGTGCTGTTCTGTGAACTGGACGTAAAGGTGGTCTCACTGCTTGTCGTCGACTTCTCAAGTGCGCAGCTCGTAAACGGTTTCGCACCGACTGATCACTAACGACAGTGTTATTGACAGCCCTTAACTGTAACCTGAGGTTGTTTGCTGTTGATGTACGCTGCCTGAGTGCTTGGAGAACCAGGTATCGGTCATCACGTTGTGAGGTACACCTTGGCCGTCCAGAACGATGTCGCTCGTGCACTCCGCCAGTGGCAGCAAAACGATGCCAAAGGTGTGAATGACAGAGGGGGACACCTGCAATCTTCTGCCCACTTCAGGTAAAGAAAGGCAATCCTGGAGCCAACCAATAGCTCGTCCTCTATCAACATCAGTCAGATGTCGTCTCTGTGGCATGGTTTTGGAAAGTGTGATAACACGATCATCATCATCGCCTTCTTAAAGGGAAAGCATGCACGTGCACCATGAACATCACCACTTTCATATGCTGAGCATGAAAATTGTGTTGGTTGTTGCTTAGGACAGGTGCAGCGTTGTGTTTGGGCGACAATATTCCTGTGTTTTGCTCATGTTTTCAATTCATTTGCATGACTACCAGAAGTGTTTCCAGAAAGTGTCAGGAGGATCAGCAATACCCCAGACGTGGTGCAACATGTTGCCAAACATTAGATGATAGTAATGTTATAACACATAATGCCATGACCAATTTGCTAAATCGTGTATTATATATCTGGTGTTCTTTAACTTCTTTTGAGTAGTATAAATGACATCACTTCTTATAAATGTCCCTCATTTTGCTCCACGGCAACAACATTTCAAATCACAGATCATAACACATGGCCTCACAGGCACTCTTGAAACCTTTCTTTTGGAACCTGATTTTGAATGATAATTATTTGACAACAGTGCATGGAACAAAAAACAATGAGGTAGTGTACCACGTCCTTTAGAATCTGACTGTCCAATATGTTTACATAATGTGCTTTGATAAAAACATGCTAAATGCATGGCATGTTATATTTATTTCATTTGTAGATCGATGTGAACAAGGATATGATATAAATAAAATAGTTATTGTCACACAAATGATATTATACACATTGTAGTGTATAATGTTGACTCAAATTGTATAACTAATAAACGAACATTGCACAGTAATTGTAAATAGCAGATGGAGATATTATAATTACCTTCCACAAGCATTCCAACTCCCTTCTGAAACTGCAAAGTCACTCCGGCCTCAACTATGAGTGTCTCCAGCTTTCCGACCATGATATTGTCAGCCACTGTGTATGGGCTGTCTTCAGGTGCAAGGGTAACAGTCCCACCAATGCTACCACCAATTGTGCCAACAGCAGAAATAAAACTATGAACAGGGGACTGGGTATTGGTCAAGTTGGGGAAACCATAGAAAGGTACAAGTTTGATTGTAGGAAGAGAAGTGTCATATGATGAATCGAATACTCGCCGTGCTATATCCTTGGCATCTGTGGTACCCCAATAGTTGTATGTAGAGTTGATTTCTCTGTCTGCATAACCATCCCCTTCAAATTTGATATTAAACTCTTGATCAGCATGGAAAGTGTTCTCATTCAAAGTTACATTGGGGCTCTTTAGAATGATTGTACTCGAGTTGAAGGTGTTCTCTATTACATAAAACCTTTCTCTGTCCCTTTCAGATTTCAGTGTTATAAGGCCACCTTGAAAAAGATTTGCACTAATCCTTGTGCTACCATCATTTGGCGTCTGAAGATTAATGTCCAACGGGGACTTTCCATTCACAAAAGTGTTACCATCTATTGATGAATTCAAAATGCTTCCTTCCATTCTTATTCCACAATTTTCAAATATGTTGGCGTGTATCTGTAAATGCCATGGGCGACTGTTTCTCCAGACAAAAACGTTAACACCATCATACTGATTTTGCATACGGATAGTGTTATTGATAAGTATGACATCATGTGGTATATTGTATTGATAGTATGCTCCTCTGAAGTCCATTGCAAGTACAGTCCCTACATCAAAGAGAGAATCTTGAATATCTATGACTCCTGGTGCAAGATTTGGACGATGGTCGAAACATGTTCTGAATGATGTGACTGCTCTGTTTCCAATCACTGACATTCTTCTGAATGTGATGTTCATTACTCTCCCATCAATGACGAAACTAGCAGAATTATATCCACTTTCGATAACAGAATCATATGCACTCATGGTGATATTTGCATTACATGACTGCATTACAAATCCTTCAAATCCGAAGTACAGATTTGAAGAGTGAATTTGTACATGAAAGTGGCCAGCATTGTCATTCGATTGAAGACGTGTTCCAAAGTCACTTTCAATTTCACTCTCGCTGATCTTCAATGACGCTGTGTGTGAACTAAGCATGTCCAAAACTATGAACTTGTTCGTTTGAGTTATTTGTACTCTTTCAAGAGACACCAAAACATTAGACCACAGTTGTCCACTTATGGCTGTTTTGCATTGTGTAATGAGGGTATCAGAAACTCTTATTTCACCAGAAACATTGTTGGTCAAACTCATTCCTGTTTTCGCGTGCTTCAAAATGGTGTGATGCAGTGATGATCCTGAAACAAACACAGCTGTCATAGGCAAACTGTCAGTTACTTGTTTGTCTGTCCACTATGTTCTCTCCTACCATTTGAATTCAGCCAGCCTTGCTGTCCTTAGTGGCAACTAACATAATCGGGTGGTCAGGTTCGCATGTCAATCGTAATCCTAATTGAGTAGATCGATGCCGCCGTCATGTAGCTAGGATATTGCTGAATCTGGCGTTAATTATCAAACAATCAAATATATACTGGTATACAATATCTGTTCTAAGTAGGGGAGGGAAAATGGAAATATGGATATTTTGATTTCTTTCTTGGATATTCAATAGTGCCTCAGACCCCCTTGATGATTTTTAAAGCAGTTTCGAAATTACTTTTATACAATGATTTGTTCTTGGAAGTAATTTGTAAATGATCATTTAGTTCTTACCCGTAGCATTGAACAATATGCCTCCCCATCGTTGAGTGCTAGGGTAACCATCGCTCCTGAGTTCTACCTTGGCATCTGGCTCGCCGTGTATTGTTAATATTCCTGAAATGATAAGCCAAATATTCCGCACAAGACATACAAATAATACATTCTAGTTCAATACTCAGACTAACATGTGACTCTGAGCATGACCAGGGAACCTACTGAAATTGAATTGACCTCCACACAAATTTAAATAATTGTACTCAACTTGTGTAATTGCAGGTTAATCCATACTGTTTAAAAGATGACATGTTTAAACACCCTTCATATACAAATAGGAAATTTCGATCGAAAACTAACCTCTCACAAAAATCCCTTGCTTGTTTGGAAACACCAATGTATTGTTCTTGCTTATTGTAAGCTCAATCCCTTCTGGTATGTACAGACTTCTGTTCACATACAACACTTGGTTTGGTTGAAGAGTGACCGAGTCCTGCAACAATCCCCCGATCGTATTGTGGTTGTCGGAAGTAAATATGTCAGAGTCTGGTTGTGATGTCATGTCAGTAAGCAAGTCTGAGACAAAGTATGGATCCACTTCAGACATCATTTTTGTGACATCACAGAAAAAGTCACATATTCTGGACCGAACAAAGAACTTGTCACTACTTCCCCAAAAGTTGTGGCTTGCATTCAGCCTCTGGTTTGCAGAATAGTCCACATCAACAAACACATCGTACAGTGCCTGGGGATTCAGGAAGACATTGTTGTGGATTTGGACTCCGACATTCTTTGTGTGAATCACTGACGTTGTGGAACAGTTGGTGAAGATGTTACCAAATATGACTGTGTAATCTGCCTCTACAAGTATTCCGGTGTCGCGTTTGATGCCAATAAATATGTTATTTGAAATAGTATACACTACATCATTTAAGCCCTGTATGCCGATGCCTTTTTGTATCAGAAACGAGTTTTCAGTCATAAGAATATTTCCGTATTTAGAATATCCAGTTTGAATATACACCAGTTGGTAGGAAGTGGTTTGGCTACCCTCCATGGTGTTATTCCTAAGCAGTATTTCAGGTCGGGTGCTTGAGAATTCTCCTTGAATGTGAACACCATGCCGGCTGTTGTTGATGAAGTGAGAGTTTGTTATGGAAATTTGCATAAAAGAGACCGTTTCGTATTTCATGAGTTTTAGGCCCGATTCTTGTTCCTCCTTGAATTGAGTTTCACTTAATGAGATAAGTTTTGTGACAGACTTGGCAGTACTTAAACTAAATCCGCTGTACCCATTGTTCTCAAACATACACTTCTTTATGCTCGTGCCAATGCCTCCATAATAATAATGATATATTCCATGAGCTTTATTATGAGAGAATCTACAATTATTGGCAATTAGCACAACCTCATTTGCAAATGCCACACCACTCTGTCCATTATAAAGGATATCACTGTCTTCCATAGCAATGTAATTACTTCCTTCCTGCCAATCGCTTCCGTATATACCCTCTCGAGTATTGTCTGATATAATTGTTCCTGAGATTTTAACTCTGTCTTGGACTGAATCCCCCGCAAGAAAAACTATTCCTCTGTCGTTGTGGTGGATATTGCAGTGTCTTAAAGTAATAGCTCCAAGAGGTCCTTTGATGCCTACAGCTGCTCCATATATGTGGCTGAATTCCAAGAACATATTCCCTGCAAATTTAAATGGACTTTTGAATTAGACATACATGATAAGAAGGAAGTCGCATGAACCATACTCCCGGACCTGAACCCGGGGCACGCCCGTTGTGAAAATGGACCCCAAACCCACACATGCATTTTTTGTCAATTATGCAAGAAGACCTAAAAACCTACATTTGACCTACGGAGATTGGTTCTGACCCACCCTGTCCTGGATGAGCATCAGTTCAGGGACATGGTCCAGGTCAATGTCCTGACAAATGCTTCTTTATTGGTCATGTCAAAACACGAAATATACACGAAACCAATTACATTTAAGTTTGGAATGTTTCTTTCTAACAGTAGTTTTCAAACTTAATCTTGTTCAGTCTCAGTGGGAATAGTACCATGCCCATGAAGACATCCTTTTTTAGTGTAATATGGTAATTAAACGCTCCGTTATAATAATAAAGTAATTTCATACAACATCTATTCCACACAAAAAGTCAATTCGAGGAAATTCTAGATGTGCATCTTAGAAAATAACAACTGCTCCTATGACGCATGTTGCATTTCATGTCCTTAGCCAAAGCCATTGTACACGGCTTGGAGTCGGAAGTTTATACAAGTTCTTAACACTAGAGTGAGATACAGGGAAACCAATTTAGTTACGGTGCATTACTGAACTGCCCAAGCTTTGGGGCTTTCAAACCACCTAGTCTACGGAATAATACATCAAACAAAGACGATAGGGGTCATCTCAAAGACAAACCTATTGCTCTCAAAAATATGGGATTTCGATACAATGCACGTGGCGATGACTGAGAAGTGTTCAGGGGAAGATATTTCAACCTGCCTATGAGGTCACATTATCTCTTCACCATTCATGGCGCTATCACAGTAAGTTCTTCCAGATCATTATCCTTGATGAAACCCGGATGAATAAGAATAATTCCACTGACTACCCGTGACTACAGTCAGATGGACGAAAAACACCCCTGGACCCATCAGGTAAAGGTAATCGTGTCATTGGTTTGCACGCCGGAAACCCTGATCTAGGGCTTATTGATGGATGTGAGCTAGTTTTTGAGGCGCAAAGAAAAACTGGTGATCATAATTAGGAAATGAATGGTGATGTGTGTCGCACCAACCATGAGTAGTCTGAAGACGACCATGCAGGAATATTTTACATCTTGCAAAGTCGACCTCAGACCATCTGAAACGACTGTTCAAATCATGGAGAAAATTCGTCGGAATAAGAGATCAGTTAAGTAGAAGAAAGGTGGATTGGCGACACAACATGGTCACGTTGCTTTACGTACACACAATCAGACATTTTGAGCTCAACCCTATTGAGCTTATCTGGGCTGACTGTAAAGGGTTCGTTGCAAGATATAACACATGTCATTGGTTAGTACCAACGTTAGTACCGCCAACGTGACGGCGTATATATCAACCTTGTTGTGCCAGTTGCCGTACCTTTGGGTGATAGTACAGATTCAGATACGTCATCAGCTGAGTCAGATGCTGGCTAAAGAAATCATCTGAAGCCTGAACATATAGTACTTCTTGAATCAAGAACCCCAACCTCCAACACTCTTCCCGTTGCATAGATTTGAACTATTTTCTATTTTTTCGCCAAAAAATATAATGCACTACATATCGTAACTGCTACCCCAATCAACCAACATCTGACTAAAGTAAAATAACAACCATATTTTGAGACCACCTCCAACTCAGGTGACATTTGCACCCATGAAAATGCATGGGCCGGTGTGAGGTCATCACCTCGGGACAGATGTTAAGTAATTTCCTCGGGCTATAGTTTATCATCATGTACCTTTTTTAGGCATGTACCTTTAATTTAGTATAGGCTAGATTAGGTAGATTTGCGTTATTTTGACACATGATATTTTCATAGCCCTATGGTTCGTATTTATCAAATGAGGCCAGAAAAGCATTTTTTGAGAATTTCCGACAATAGTTTAGTAAGTTTCTCACCATTCCTTCTAAAACGCGCCTGTATATATCGAGACCAACCAAATTGTTGGACATGCATTAAGTAGAACAAGCTGTAAGCTTTATTATAAGTTTGGAATGTTCACAGCACCACTTCCTGTTGCTATAACAACATTAAGTGTCCAGCTAATAATAATGGAGATCCTGACTCATCAACTAGAGATTACCCGGGTGCTGCCAATAGAATAGCTAAACTAAAATAGATGCAAAAGTAAATTATCAAACACAACTGGAAACTGTGACAACGGCACCAGACGTGTCAGCAACATAACCTGCAGCTGCTAATATGTCAGCAACATGACCCATGCCGGCCTCAGCAGTGGTACCAAGAGAAAATTGGATACCATATGCATTCGCAGTTGCAGGTGGTCACAGGACATATTTAAAATAGGATAACATTGTAGAGAAAACATCAGACGTAGCAAACAAAATCAATTATAGATATAAACCCTCAATAAATTGTATAATAACGGAGATGTTGGTTAATGCTATACATCATTTACCAGGGCCACCAAGCGGTCAGTATCGACACTTGACTCTAATGGATATAATATAAGGTTGGTTGTCCTCAATATGGGACTCGCCATACGCACAAAATATATGCTTATCGTGCAAAGAACGTATCCCATCAGACATTATGAAGTAAGCATTAGAATTCTACATATATAATACCAATAATAACGGCGTCGATTGCAATGCTGGTTTGTGGAACTGTAGCTGTAACTGTATTTTTTGTTTCTAGCATGAGTAAATCAAATGCTGCAGAGAACAGACAGAATAGGAAAAACAAAATAAAGCTTAAGAACAGATCCAAGCTGCATAGGCTGAATGGACTAAAATATGAACACCAAGACTTGACTGGATAACAACGCACTCCATAAACAAAAACACTATATCGACTTATTCCCAACATGCTCAGAATATTACACCCTGTCAGATGAGCAGAAGGGGCGTGAGATAATCATTGTTTTCTTAGGACTTGTTATGAGTTAAGAACTAGCTAAACTATGTAATCGTTTAAACAAACAAAGAGTTTATACAATGATTGGGTTGGGAAGAACCAATGTAAGTGAGTAAAGCTTGGTAAACCAATAAATGGTGGTACAAAAACTGTATGGGAGACTATTGAGTCATACAGTCTTTGGCTGACCAAACGCGTTAACCTCGTTGGCTGATGCAGCTTTGTCAGCCATGTTCTTATGAATACAAAGATACTGACCCGAATTCCTTTGTTGTTTTCAGGTTTGTATAATTACATTTTATGGTTGAAATAAGGCCGCAATATAAGGAATAATGTACATACGGTAACCTAGATTTGAAAATACTATATTTGTAAACACTGGTAAATGGTAAGATTGAGTAATTTGCTCATTTCATGTTCGCGCTACCCGCAGGGTATGTCAGTGTTGTCAGACGACATGGTAGAGAAGGCCGTTCATGGTAAATACACTAGTTTGAGGGCTCCATATATGCATATGTGATGATATTCGTTGCCTAACCTGTATATACTTTCTGTTAGGCAATATATTCTAAGTTAGTGTAGAATGCAAACAGTATTTTGTCCAAACACCGCTGTTCGTGGGTTACTGAGGTCACGTGACATGCCACCATTTCACGTATACGCTTTGGGCGTAGTACTAGATCTAGCAGATATTGAAGTTTGTAGAATCAAAATATAACTTACCTCCCTGGTTGTTGTACACATGTTGTTAGTAACCCCCCCTCCCTTATCATTAGGTATATCGATTTAACTTTCTATAGTCATTGCAATGGAATCTATCCCAGGGGTATGGGAGACAACTCTGATAGTCTTGTTTAAATAGTGATTTGCAGGGCGCTTCAATTGTACTGTAATGTTATAATGTGATGCTTCCACTCAAAATCCATTTATTATCATTCATGTGTAATTTCATGATATCCATAATTGATCAATGTACATTTTGGAGTATTTTCGTGGTATATTTCCATGTAAAACACGTAACATTTCAAGTAGAGTTTCTGTTAAACTCATTTCCAAGTACATGCTGCTTGAAGTATAGGAACTATTCTTGTACTACAAATAATGGATAATCTGTTTTAATGAAAGGATTTATGGTTCTCATGTTTATGGAAAGTTAATATGGATCCTGTTGACCATTCTGTTGATCAATGATTATTGTACAAGGGGCTCATGTCATCTAAACTAGTGTTGACATAAATAACAGAGGGAACTAAGTAGGTACATAGACACTTTATTGTAACTATGCCTATTATAGTCAACGAGTTGTATTTTTTGCGCCATGCCAAGTTGTAAACTTGATGACAATACAAGTTTTGTCAGCCATGTTCTTATGAATACAAAGATACTGACCCAAATTCCTTCGTTGTTTTCAGTCAATCTGAATGATTGTGAGCTGGGTAACATGCCTATGTCACAACTTTGAGGTACAATCGAGAGTACTCTTTCTGTGACGATTTCAAAGAGCATCATACGACTCTTGTTCCAAACATGTTTGATCAAGGTTATAACATTCAAGGCCTCAGTAAAGCTTTCAAAACGTTTTATGGTAGACATGTGGAAGATATTTCCAAAATTATCAGTGATAAGCATGATGTCTAATACAATTCCTTATTTTGACTCGTACATGTGTTCCCTCGTTTTTGAACATGTACAGTTGACTTGCCTTTGTATGTGTTTGTTACGGGAGCCACCGTTGGGTCAGGATACGCTAACCCTTTCGCCAACACCTGGTATCATCATTGATAGTGATTCGTAAATATGCATTGTCAATGCAAGAGAATAACCTTCCTAGATTTACTGCCGAAACAGATTCTACTTGCCGTAAGGGGAAATACGTGTGGAAATTATATGAATGGACCACTAAAAATCAGTGATGACACCAGGTGTAACACATGCTCATGATATCGTCGGAATCGTACAATCGACTCTGCTTTTTAGCAGATATGTCAGAGATGAATTTTGAATGGCTTTGATTTGAAAGTGGCATTCTTTATAGATGTCTGATCTTGGACAAACCAAAGAAAGAAAAAACAAAGTGGTTACGGAATACAGAAGTAAAAAGGTATATAAAACACGAATGGTATAAAGATGCCTTATTTTACAGTAGGACATTCAATTATGAAATAAAGAGGTGAGGTGAAATGGGGTTTAACGTCGCGTCCAAGATTATGGCACCTATATAGGGACGTGCATGCACGTCTGTGTGTTTCTGCTTGTACTAGTCCGGACCAATGCCGATTTATAGTGCTAGCTCACTGAGATACAATGCCGCAGTTTAACACGAATACCCCACTCAGACACAGTATACTGACTCGGAGCCGACAGTTCCTAGTTTTAGCCCCTTTATGCCGAGCGCCAGACAGGGTAACAACAAGTATCATCATTTAACGTCCTTTGGTATGACGCGGCCGGGGATCGAACCCCGGACCTTCCGCTCTCCGGGCGGACGCTCTACCACTAGACCACAGAGGCGGTCGAATATGCTAAGAAGTGAAAGACATAAGATATATGGATTAAGACATCATTGTCACCACTGGACACAAAACAGTGGATTGCCGATGATGGTATAACTACATCATTAGGAACAACAAACATCCCTTCACAGACAAACCCTCTTCCAGGACCGTCTTGAAAAAAATGTAAGACAGATTTTGTGTATCTTGACCCTAATGGGTCAGTTGCGACCTCTCTCGAGTTCACCGGCTTGATATAGATATCCACCACAGGCGGGAGATTTTGCTCTGAGCTTCATCACGGTTCTGCTGATTCAGAAAATGCTGATTTCATTTTAATGTCGTTACTTGGTTGCTTTGTGGTCAGTTCTGGTCACATTCTGGTGACATTTCCATTTTCATTGCATCCATGTACAAACAGTCGCTCTGCAATGAAGCAGTTAAATCGTTCTACTATGGCTTGACTGCGGTAGGCATCCCTTTCGTCATGTCGGATTATGACATTATGCTTTAAGACTTTAGATACCGACCCCATAAATTCACGCCCAGGAACCATTTGAATATAGATTGTCAATGCAAGAGAATAACCACCGAAACAAATTAAAATAAGTAAAATAGCTACGCAGATTTTTTGAATGGACCACTGAAAATCAGTGATGACACCAAGAACTTGTAAATATGAGGCAGCACATGAGCCACCTCTGTAGAATCTTTTGAGTTGAGGGCCTCAGTCTCTTTGTACGGACTAGCTTCACTGACCACAGTCATAGCATATTGAAAGTTGTTCGTCTCTCCTCATCATTTCGAAGGAAAATGGGGTCGTCTTGAAGAATTTCATTAGGCACAGATACATAAAACCTTTATCTTGAAACATAGCGAGATGCAAGTAAAAAAGATATTTCCAAATGGATTGCTTCTTGAGCCAATGTAGCAAGGTTTGAATAGTTACTACTCCCTTCCAGTATCTTTGAGGAGTAGAGTACACTTCTATCATATAATATATTTATCCTGTCAGTTTTTGATATGCTTTTTACTTATCTGAATATCAAATTAGAGAAAAAATGTTATAGCGTGTAATACCTACTGAAACCGAGTTTGATGAAATGAAAATGCTAACGTTTCCAAGTAACGAAATGGAGAGACATCCCAAATGTTGTGACACAATAAAAGATTATAAACATAAACATACCTCATTTGGCTCTTCATTTATACTTGAGCTTAAAAGATGAAAACTGAACCTTGCCTACTGTACTGTGTGGTCAACCAGTCGTATGACTGAAGAACTTATGGAAAAGTGTAATCAAAAGTATGTGATTATCCAATGATTGACAGAAAGTATTTTATTTATGGCTTTCATGAACATAGAGCCGATTCCCCAAATCCATTATACTCCATGGAATAAGAGTTCAAGACGACAATGTAAATGGCAAGGTCGTCGTAACTAATTAAATTTTAATAGATCATGTATTGTTTTTTGACATAACCTATATGTGAGGATTTTCAAGGTCGGCTTTTCCAAACACGTTCCTTGTCCACTTGGCGCAATACCCCATTATATATACTACTGACGAAGTAATGAGAAATCTATATGTGAGTGAAATAAAAACGTGTAAAATATCCAAATACGTGAATGTGCATCGGAAGAGACACTATTATTACAGCTTAAAAAAATCACGTCATGTTTTCTGACTCTTATCAGAGCTTTGCAACGCGAATTTACTTAGTTTCTTCAGCAACACTTCACAATTTCCAGTTAATAGCATTTGAAACATATTCAGGGTTGGATATTGACAATACATTTTCGTTCAGTAATATTCTCTGAGGTCACTTTAATAGTTACAGTTTAAGACATAATTATACTCATGTTCCATAGCAAGATCTATCATGTTCTATCACCAGATAATCTGGTCCAGACACAAATACTTACAGACCGCCGTCGCTAAGCTAGAATATTGCTGAGTGCAGCGTTAAACAACTAACAAACCAATTCTACATACAGGATGTGTGCGTAGTGTTAATTCTTTAACCATCTTCCTTTATTTACCTTCAGTTTTAGTAATCTGGCTCTAAGTCTAATGATCATGTATAACGTTGTATTATCTGAGATGACATACACTGTACTTGATGTATATAATCGTGTTCGGATTCCCTGGTAACAATGTAGGGACACAGTTGTTTGGGTCATTCATGCATGCACAGTGGGAACGAGGGAGCAAATTCAAAACAGATGGAACATTTGTTGGTATTTATGGAGGTAGTTCCTCTGTTGTACTGATCTCAAAGACAACAGTGTACATACCTTGACTGACAACTTCAATACCTGCCCACATGTTTGTCCGGTTTGTGAACGTAGTTGAAGCTGTGAAAACCACAGGCAATCCACTGAGACCTCTGGCCTCCAATGTACCTGAGAAGCAACATATACTAAATAATAATCAATAACAACAATAACTCAGTCGCCACAGAGTTCTCTAATTTCATTATTTACACCAATAAGACACAAGACAACATCAAACGATAGTTTTCAACAGAACATACTATCAGCCAGAAACTGTTGATAGTTCTATGCACAGACCTGAGACATATGCCAGGGTAGGTGAACGAATTGCTTGTCTTAAATACAAATTAGGAAAACAATCTATGTCTCGATAACTGCAGTTGGCATTGGTACATTAAGATGTGTATGTTTAAGATACAACTACCCACACATTCTTACCAAGAACAATGAATCCTGCGTGTGAAGAATTAAATATAACCTTGACCCCCGGCTGTATTTTCACATGTGCTGCTTGACGAATCTTGATGACAGTGTTAATGACATATGGACTCAGGCTGGGTAACCACTCATGACTTCCCTAGAACACAAATACGATCTTGAGATGGCAGGTGCACATGCAGATGTAGATGAAGAGATCTAGAATTTGATGCTGCTGTAAATGTTGATTTGTAGTTTGTGGATACAGATGTGGATGTGGATGTGGATGTTGCAAATGTATATGTAAATGCTGATATAATTGTACATGTAATCACTGTACGTTTTATAGATGAAACAAAAACAGTTACATAGTATACTGAAAGAAACGTTGAGCAATGACCATAAACATCGGACTAGCATTATATCTGCTCTTAACGAATCAATGAAAAAGCTGGAACATCGACAGGAAAATCCTCCTGAAAGGAAACTAATTAAATATAAGACGATGATCGGGTGTTAAATGAGTGTTATTTTTTGCTGCATTTTAGAAATATTAAAGTTTCATTTGACACCGGACGCCACTTCTGCTACTCAGTCCCAAAAACAATGCACTCATGATCAGAAACTTGTTATGAAAACACTTCTCTTCAGTCAGTTTTGGAAACCAAAGGAGGTGAGTAAGTGGGTGTGATTTAACGCTGCCTTTGACAGTTTTCCCCAGTTATTTCACAGCTTGATGTGGGAGGAAGACCTGAAGTAATGGAGGCCGTTGACGTTTACCACTTTGGTGAAACCAACGAGCTAGGGGTATGGTTTTGAAAAAACATAGAAACCGATGGTCATATAGGTTCCTGTGACGCCTAAGTGACGCAAAACTTCAGGGGTAATTGTGGTACCTAATATACACGTTATATATGAAGTGAACGTGAAAAGTATATAAAAAGCTATATTATTTTAGTAAATAGAATGTATATCATGTGACAATTGTTCTTATGCAATGAAGCAATTAGTCGTCCGACCCTTGATGAAGGTAGAACAAGTGATAGTAGAGTTTACATATTTGGCAGTGCTTACTTCAACCTAAATGCTATCTAAGTATGATGAGAATGGGTTAGTGAAAAGGTGTGAATGATTAATTACTCGTGTATTCTTCGTTTATATTCCCGAGTTGTTGACTATTACGAAAGCTATTATTAAGAAACTAAGATAAACCACGTAGATATCGTCATGAAAAGTGCAGAGGAGGTTTGAAAACCTGCGCGCACTGATATGGTTTCCTTAGTGTGAATGGGAAGTGTACTCCTTGAACCAGATGTGACCCGATAATAAAAGACTCGCCCGATAGCAACCCGAACGGAAATACACACACTGACGACCCCATCACCATGTCAAACTGGTAGGACCAGGAAGGATCACGAAGGATGACATTAAGATTGTGAGTAGGACGGACTCCACGAGTGTCCTGACGTTATAAACCCAGACGGGTCTTGTCTACATGACTTGATAACCAAGCAACACAGGCAACCGCCTGTTAAAGATGTAGGTCAGCCTAGTGTATAAGAGTTAAATAATATACACCTGACAATTAATTAAACACCACCAAAGTCAAAATGACACAGAAAGATAAGTTTTGAAAAAGAGGAAGTTATATCCGTATATCTATCATATATTATGGCCCTTTTCCCACACCATACCATTGCCAATACAACTGTCAGCGCAGGAAGAACAATACCCATTAAATGTCTAAATACAATTTTTTGCCTGTATTCATGGACGATAATGTGTAGGCCACAAGACATGTATTCATGGACGATAATGTGTAGGCCACAAGACATGAATTCATGGATGATAACGTGTAGGCCACAAGACATGTATTCATGGACGATAATGTGTAGGCCACAAGACCTGTATTCATGGACGATAATGTGTAGGCCACAAGACATGAATTCATGGATGATAACGTGTAGGCCACAAGACATGTATTCATGGACGATAATGTGTAGGCCACAAGACATGTATTCATGGACGATAAAGTGTAGGCCACAAGACATGAATTCATGGATGATAACGTGTAGGCCACTAGACCTGTATTCATGGACGATAATGTGTAGGCCACAAGACATGTATTCATGGACGATAATGTGTAGGCCACAAGACATGAATTTATGGATGATAACGTGTAGGCCACAAGACATGTATTCATGGACGATAATGTGTAGGCCACAAGACATGTATTCATGGACGATAATGCTAGATCTCACCGAACACGTACTATTCTGGAATGCTTACGTCAGAATGCCACCGAGACACTTCCTTGGCCAGCAAGAAGTCCACTATCTGTTGAACATTTTAGGCCATCATATTCGACAATATATGGGTTGTGCTTAAGTATGTTCCAGGTATATATACATAAATGTGTGTTCCAAATCGGTTCTGACGCATATATATTGCGGTACAGCGCTAGCGAAAAGTTGTGAATGGAGGTCCGAAATGAAAAGAAAAAACAGGCCATAATTTTACCTCCCACAAAGTATGACGATGCCAGACTTCAGTGTGCAAACACAGCACAAGTAAAATTCAGTATGTTTAATAATTAATAGGTATTCAATGCATATATACCGAAAAGTAAGTGGTTTTTTTTACATCAATACGATACGATCAGAAACGATATTTTAATAAAACAAATTAAAAAAATGGAGGAAAATAATGTTGAAGGTTAACAATCAATATCTGAAAAGCACTACTTTAATGACAACTGGATGTATTTATCATTTGGCGTCTGGGGAAGAACACATTGCTCAGTATGGCATTATGGCCCTTATTATCTCCTCAAACATTCTGGCCACACAGCGTGGAAAAATGTGCGGATTACTCCCGTTACTTTTTTGTCACCATAAGTATGCAGACGATCCAGTTCAGGTCGATAGATAGAGAAGGTTTACTTTGAAACTGCGTGTTATATCGTAGTTCATCGATATATGGGGGGTAATGCAATATCAAATTGATGCCCGAAGTAAGTATCAACGTGTTAATAAGTCCTTACTTACAGTAGACGGAACATTCCGCAGACATTGAAATTGTTTACGAAGCGAGCAATTCCTGGCTTCTGCTGTGCAGCAGTAAATAGCCGCTAGAACGCGTGACCCCGTGGGAATCACAAATGCCGCGATACGATGAATGCCGCGCGCGGATACATACATTTTTACTATGTGTGCTATGAACAAGGGCACTTGCAGAGAAGTGGCTGAGAGACTAATTTTGGCTCTTAGCAAACTATAACATCAAACTTCCAGCAAGAAATATTGCATGAAAAGATAAGTAGTATGCATAATGTGAAGTAAATTGTGCGGTCTCTTGACTTCATCCCCTTTGCTCTGTTGCATTGGGTTAAATGTGGGCGAAATAGTAAGCTGGTCATAAGTGTCAACAGCATGAGCCGAGGCTGGTGGTACGTATTGGTTGTATGTATTGAGATAGCTGGAGCCTACTCGACGCCCTGGCCTATTACGTTTGTTTCTTCAAACTGATGGTCAAGCTCAAGTCCTGGTACATGCTCTTGAGAAGCAGTCCATGGGGGTTTGCAGCTAATTCTCTGAGTGGGTTGCAAAATCATCATCATCATCAGCAAAACAACATTTCTGTCATGAAGGCTTCACATGCTTTGGTTTTTGCTTTCAGACGACCTAGGCTTAACACCACCCTTTCAATCTTATGTGAATTCCAAACAGGGTGTCGGCAAGTACACAGCCCTGTTTTACTTCACTATAAATGTTGAAAGCCTCATAGGATGAGCCGTCAAACTACAGTTTTGATGTATTGAATCATGCTGAGGAGCTTGGGTGGGCAGCCAATCCATCTGCTCACACGTTTGACTCTCTATGGGGGTTCAGTCCCTCAGCCTTTCCCATGTATGGGTACACCCACAAGGCAGCGGGGATTTTCGGAATGGGAGTCTTCCTTCTCCAAGATCTTGAAAAGCAGCCAGCCAAGGCTGACGAGACGATCTCTGCCCGGAATTTCTGGTTTTGAGGCGCCAGATAGACGCCTTTCGCTCCTTCTCCTGTCAGTTAGAAAAATTCCACTACGTGAAGGCCAGGAACTGGTCTTAACTGTCATAGGCAATTGGAGTTGCACGCTGTTTGGGCATTTATAGACATTGGAAGCTTGTCCCCAATGCCATCCCGGCTTTAACAATCTTGGTAAGGTAATCTAAGTAAAGATTTACGATTCCGACTATATCTTGAGCATGTATTTATTAATCACTATCAAATAGTGATGATACCAAGTTTTAGTGAAAAAATGAGCCTTTTCTGTCCCATCGGTGGCACCCTACACAAACACATACAAAGGCCAGTCAATTGTTTACCTACAATAAACACGGGAACACATGGTACAAGTCAAACTAGGGAATTGCTTCAGACAAAAAAAAATTTTGATCGACAATTGTCTTAAACGAGTAGGTAAGATAAACTATTTTCTCAAAATATGTTATTCTTTCAATCATTATCGTGACAATTGTTGTTCGAGCACGAAATGTCACATATTAAATATTCCAAAGAACAGAGTTTTGTGGCGAATTTTTCCCCCCAACTATTAAACGCTTATACACTAGGCTGGCCTACAGATCTCTCCAAACAGGTACCTGTGTTGCTTGGTTAGTCAGTCATGTAGATATGACACACCCGCTCCAAAGATAAATGCTCGTTGACGCTCGTGTTGACACAAGGTCTCAGCCTACCTGTATGTCCTGAGTGACGTCTGTATGCCTGACGGGGATTTGTTGCTCTGCCTCACACCCAAACAACTCCAGGCGAAATCCTGCATACCTCTTGCGTTGAGGTACAAATGCTAGGTACCTGGCCTGCAAAAGGTTAATCTCAAATACATCTTTAGTAGAGAAAAATGTAACAATTAATGTAGCCAAACAGTGAGCGACAAATCTAGAAACATAATCAGGGTGAACCAGATTCGAACCCACGATTATAGGTTTCTGGGGTACCCAATGGACACGAATTGCGGCGCCTCAGACGAAGGGCCACCCGTGCTGCCGTAGGTAAACAGAGCTAAACACCACCACACAGAAGCACAGCCTATATATACATGATTTAACACTTCAGAGAGAATATGCTATCATACTCGTTTGATGTGATGTTCGCGTATTCTTGCATACAAGGTACCAATTTGGTTAGTTCACTATAATGAACTACCTTATTGGACTCTAGCAACCCATTCTTGCAGTAAACGCCGACTATGCTCGTAAGAGGCGACTGACGGGATCGGGTGGTCAGGCTGGCCGACTTGGTTGATGTATGTCATCGTATCCCAATTGCGTGGATCGATGCTCATGATATCAATCACTGGATTGTCTGGTTCAGACTCGATTATTTACAGAACGCCTTCATATAGCTGTAATATTGCTGAGTGCAGCGTTTAACAACAAACAAACAATAATTCCTGTTGATAATGACCGTAATAAGAGTTTACCATTTAACCATCATTATCAATGAGAATTAGCAGCTACAACTGTTGTTTATTTGTGCGGTCAATGGCAATAATCTGAAATAACTCCTCTTGATTACAGAGGAGAGATCAATTTTGAACTGTAATCAGTTAGTCCAAGGAGATACTAAATAACTCAGTTCTGTTATTATTACGGCTTATGTGTTAATGGTGTATATAACCATGTGTTTATTTTTATGTGTTTTTCGTTCAGGGCAGGTCATATAAATTCATCAGTAATTGAACTTAATAGTACTTTGTCTCTAATTGCAGTAGCCAAAGCTTCTAATTTGGCCGTTTACGAAATGAAACTCCATCAATTATCTAGGGTCATACAAAACATGTTGTGCAAAGATGGTTTCACAAGTAGCTGGGAAGAAGAATTTAGGCGAATGACAAGCGGACAAAGATCTAGATCCATCATGACTGGCCATAACTAATGACTTTGAGGATGTAGGTGGTGTCACCCTTACCTGCACAGCTGGGTTTAAGTCGAATGTGACAACAGTCCTGTAATCTGGAGGCCCTGCCAGAGTCTGTGTCCCATTGCTGGTGACATATCTCTCCCAGACAAGACTATCCTGGCTGTAGAACAGCAACATTGTTCCAGGGAATAAGACATGCTTGCTGACCTGGACTGAGTATCGGGTTACCCAATGCTGAGTTAGCAAGTCAACCTGCAGGTTGTCTGTGCCATTAGGCTGTTGAACTACCCATTCCTCTGGAATAAACGACACATTACTATTGGAGTGGATTGGCAGCAGAATCTCTGCACATGTACACAGCAGACAATTCAAAATTAACATAAAGTTTTTCGTTTCAACAAAGTAAATAATTGCATTGTCGTGTCAGTGGATTGTTTAGTCCATCACTTGTCTGGTCAAGATTTGATTGTTTGCAGGTCGCTGTCGTATTGTTTATGTAAATTGTGTGCGTGACGGGTGCTACCTGTGGAGCAGGCTACCCTTCTCCTTTTAGCGAACTGGTGTCATCACTGATTATCAGTAATCCATTATATGATTTTTCACGGCTGTTTTGCCTTTTGCGCCGAATGTTTCAGCAGATCATCAAGACTGATTATTTTTGGCATTTACGTTTTATATTTGATTGGTGTATGAGTGGATTTGAGTGGAGTGAAAATGTATTATGATACCAGGCACAAAGAGCCGCATGGTGCACCCATGTAGATAATGTAATGTGGGTCTTTGGCATGATGAGCCAACGCCTTTTAGCACCCTCCTATCCCATCCCTATCCCTTACTAACAAATCATTGGTACGGAAAATGTTTCTTATTTTTTGTGCTTCTTCTTCTGAACAGTTAAATATCTGTGCGTGGCTTTTATATTCCTTTTTATGCAGGTAGTTAATCACAGCTTGTTTATCAGTTTTCTTCATTTCCGCAGTTTCCCTCACCCTTTTAAAATTCTCAAGGACCGCCTCCGAGGTCTTGTGGAGAGAGCATCTTCCCTGGGAGCGGAAGGTCGATCGACCCCCGGCCGCGTCATACCAAAAGACATTAAAAGATGGTACTTGTTGTTACCCTGTCTGGCGCTCGTCTTTAAGGGTCTAAAACGAGGACTGTCGGTTCGGACTCAGTATACTGTGTCTGAGTAGGGTATTAATGGTAGACTGCGGCATGGTATCTCAGTGTAACTTGGTCTAATGTCTTCCAAGTGACAAATCTTCATGCACGTTTCGAAATCTCATATTAAAAAAGCAATACATACGAGGCCACATTTTTTCGATTTATGGACGTATTTTTTTTGTAGCCAAGAATATGACATTGTTAGCATTAAGTTTTCGTCCAGAATTCTTTTTCAGTTCACTGCTAATGACAACGTTAAAGTGCAAGTCTCATGCAAATTTGGATAGCTCAATTCACCAAAAGCGGGCGTAAATAAGGTTTATTTGCACTTCTGTCCTGTGTATCAATTTCAAAGGCTGAAACGGCAATACAGCGGAGGCGGAGCCTTTATATACAGAAGCTCCATATATGGTCTTGGAGGAATTACCTAAACAATTACACACTTGATCGCACCAACTACCACCAAAATTACACACAAGCCCGCCCATATTTATTTTGAGCAAAATAAGCCTCAGTACCCTACTATGCGGCCCGGGACGTGCCTTCTGTTGACGGGGGAGTATGTAGCAGGGCGTGGAGTCATCCCACAGTTGACATCCTTACCTTGTCAGGTCTCCCAACAACCAATGAAACAATCACGTATAATCTGTATCATGTGGTAACAGCCAACCAAAATACGTACTTTTAATCAAGCGCAACAGGGCTAACTTTACGTTTTCACACTTTGTACATCATACTAAATATCTATGATACTTGCACAATAAGGTAAACTACATCAATACAAAAACAGGTTATACAAGAAAAAGTGCTTACCCCCAACGTTAAGTATTGCTGCAATTGCTTTGAAGAGGGCATTTAAAGATGATGAAGCAGAGAATTGCTCGTCCGTGATCTGACCATTTGCAAAACCAAGAGGAGCATCACACTGTGCTGACTCTGCCAGAGCTGTAACAGTTGGGAAACAGTGGGAGACAGATACAGTTGGGTTACATTTCGTTAATATACAATTTATCACAGGAATGGATGAGTCAAGATAAAGGAGGATAATCCTCCCAAATGTATCCCCCTCTAACGATGTCAATTTTACATCACCCTCCCCGTGATAAGTATTTTGTCATGAGAATGCACATTATAATGTTTGTTGGCATATTATTTGACTTATCATTTGTTATGACGCTCCTGTTATTTCACGTCTTCATGCACTGTATCATGTTTGTTTGTTTGTTGTTTAACGCCGCACTCAGCAATAATCCAACTACATGACGGCGGTCTGGAAATAATCGAGTCTGGACCAGACAATCCAGTGACTGACATCATGAGCATCGATCCACGCAATTGGGATACGATGACATGCATCAAACAAGTAAACGAGACTGACCACCCGATCCCGTCAGTCGCCTCTTACGACAAGCATAGTCGGCGTTTACTGCAAGAATGGGTTGCTGAAGTGCAATAAGGTAGTTCATTATAGTGAACTAACCAAATTGGTACCTTGTATGCAAGAATACGCGAACATCACATCAAACGAGTATGATAGCATATTCTCTCTGAAGTGTTAAATCATGTATATATAGGCTGTGCTTCTGTGTGGTGGTGTTTAGCTCTGTTTACCTACGGCAGCACGGGTGGCCCTTCGTCTTAGGCGCCGCAATTCGTGTCCTTTGGGTACCCCAGAAAGCATTAGTTGCTGAAGACCTATTCTACCCCGGATATTCACGGGTAATTTTTTCAACAAGTAGGCTTTTACGTATCATTTAAATTACGTATGACATGTATAAATACACAGCTTTCCAAATATTGAAACTTTCAGTAGTTTATATACCCCCAAAAGAAAGTCCTACAATTTGAAAAAGTATCGGTCACTTTTTTCGGCACACAACCGCGGCAATTGTTGCCTCAACGTTGAGTGTCATGCATTTTGAGATTTTCTTTATAAGGTTATCACATTTTTTTCATTTGATCATAATATTTTGTTCGTTTGTGAAAAAAAACCCATTCAAGTTCCTTAATTTCTAAAACAGAAGCAACTCGCGGTTAAATTTAATGTAAACAAAAACAATCTCGATCGGTGCATTTTCGATTGGAAGAAACGGACACGACGTATATTCATATCAACGACGGTAAATAAACAATTCCACATGCATCGTGATCCCGTACTACTATTACAATATGTTTGTAATATCTAACTTAATTGTCTAGAAGTATTTACATAGATGTATAAATATTTGCAAAACAATATCTCACATTTATCGAGTTTGTAAATGATTTCGTTTGATAAACCTTCGGACATTGACAATGTTGTTGACAAGCGTAGATGTCTTGAGGGCGAGGGATGACTCGCGATTTGTTTAGCTGAACAAACACTCCTTTGTGGTGATACGCAAAATCTGAACATCCCAGCAAAAACGATTTAAAAGCACAATAATGCAGGTTATAAAAAAACCCTTGCATTTTTAGCAATCATTGCTAAAACCGGAAGCAAGAACAGCATCTCACACATCAAGGCAATATATGCAAACTTTGTTAAACGAGAAAATTCCGGAAAAGAGTCAAATTGAAAGGAAATGACAGAATCAACTCTTTCGTCATCTTCGCGTGTTTACTGTTGATTGCCCTTGGTGGCAATCGCGGTTGTATTCACTCTTTTTGTCGTGATTACCCTCAGTGCGTAACATACTTTTGAAGTCTAAATCCGAAATCGTAATGTATTCTGCGGTTGATGATTTTAGAATTATTTTCAACGATGATGGTAGGGAGAGATATAATATATTGATGACATGATAATAACATATATTGTTTTTGTTATATCATTGCAAGAAGGACAATTCTGATTATTGAAGATGTCGATGAGAACCTTTTCTGACAATCCCTTGTCCTCAGAAAAGATGAAACTAGGTAAATGTCGGATGGATTTTGTGGAACTATGGGATCAAGATATATTTCTCACTTGTATGATTCCTTTTCACGTGGGGGCACGGGTGGCCCAGCCGTCAAAGGCGCCGCGATTCATTGTGCACGCCAGAAACCTGTGATTGTGGATTCGAATCCCGGTTCGCCCCGATTATGTTTCTAGGTTTGTCCGCACCATACCCGTGCTCGTGGGTTTCATCGAAGTGGTCAACGTCGGAGACCTGCATCACTTAAGCTGACATGCCGCGATATGACTGGAATACTGATAAAAGCGGCGTTAAACCCAACACACTAACTAACTCACTCACTCCTTTTCACGTCTTGAAATGGGTAAGATTATTTTTACGTAGCAGGTATATGGTTCACCTGTTGTCCTTCAAGGAACAACATGGAAGAAATGAAAAGAATGGAAATATATACGCCTCAGAAATAAGGGCTTTTAAAGTTTCAAAATCTATCTAGTTACATATGTTTTCACTTGGGGCTAACAAAGTTAAATCCTTATGAGTATCTGTACTGGTAAAATGACCCATTGCACACACTATGCACTAAGTAAAATAACATGGACGAAGGGCCGTAACACACAGTATGCACGTAGTCGAAAACACGGAGCAAGGGCCTTAAGTCTCTAAGACAATAAATGACGGGACCAATTTTAGAACACAGTCACATTCTTGACGTGTATCTCTTTGCACACTAAGCATGCACACTTTCATTTATGTAACTTCGGTAGTTTTGGGGAAAACGAGTCCCTGTTTCAGTTGAAAAGCACAGAGCAAGGGCCATAACTATAAAGAATGAATTTACGACACCAATTTTCGAACTCATTTGAGATCATGACCAGTAACATCAATGTGCATTTTCATTACTCAAACTTGAATAATTTTTGAGAAAATTTGTGCCCTTTGAGAAGTGGACGGACGGACGGATGAACTCCGTTCCTATATCCCCCGTCCCACCTCGTTGCGGCCCCGTGAAAGATCTGGGTTAGAAACGGTCTTCAGCAAACCATGCTTGCCGTAAGATGCGGCTGACGGGATCTTGTGGTCAGGCTCGCTGACTTGTCATCGTTTCCCAACTGCGCGGATAGATGTTCATGACATCAATCACTGGATTGTCTGGTCCAGACTCGATTATTTACAGACCACCGTCTTACAGCTGGAATATTGCTGAGTGCGGCGTTAAACGACAAACTTCGTGGCGGGGGATAATAATGTAATTATAGTGTACTCACTAGTCGCAACTGCGATCGTGTAGACCAGTACAATGTAGCCGAACAGCCCGCCGCTGACACTTGACATTCTGTATGGGTATATAATAACCAGGCTCCCGCTTATAACTGTTCAACCTACGAAGAGAATTAACTTAATATATTCAACGTGGTGCGCATTAAATCCATTGTCAGCTTCCCAGAAATTCCCCTTGTTAGACAATGACTCACCATGTTTACACAGGAGAGTTGTAGGTTTAGTGTTAGGTCAGCTGTGTTGAGCAACATCCTCATTCATATCGCACTGCGTGTTTATCAGAGACGACATGACACCCCCCCACCCCCCACCCCACCCCATTGCAACAAACGCATATAGCAACCACTGTATTGTAGTAACACATTGTATTAATGATGTCTTCTCGCCAGAGCAACATTTGAACGTAAGGTATTCTCGCCAAATCGATATGCGGCATGGCTTTGGAGATGTGGCTCTTGTTATAAGGGAATAACAAAGGATTAACGTCTAAGCGACACGATTGTAAATTTTTACAATGCACGTTCAGTTCAGTGAAATGTGTTCACTGATAACAGTAAACAGGTATTGATTACATTAATCATTGTGAGTTTATGTTCTATTGATTGCTTTCATCACAGTTAGTTCTGTTCGCCATTAAATAGATATGCTTTAGTTAAGTTAGTTTAGTTCAATTTTCGCCTATACATGATAGAAGCATTATAAACTTGCATCACTTATATTTTATAAAATGGCAAAGGCGCAGTTACATGTCAAGTTGATTCTACCACGCAGAGAGGGTCGCATCCTTAGTCTGTGGAGATTCATTTCCAGTTCGAACAAGACCGATTCCTTGTAATCCTGGCAGTGTCCAGAGAAGTCTGGCTCGAATTTCGCCGAAGCATGACATCGTTGCTAATAATGGCAAAGAACACATTCATTATCCAGTCCGACTTGTCACATGAAGGTGAAGCAGACTTTGGATAGAATCAAGAAAAAGGCAGCAGCTGAGACGGCTGTCCTTCCACAGATGCCAGTAGACAAGGTTAGTATTTTGAAATTTAAAGTAGAATGTAGAAATATACCACTCAAAGTTTGCTAAGGATCACACTTGAAAAGGTAATGCGTCCAATTGTGTGCATCTGTCGAAATAGCCAAAGACAAAACATTGCGTAAAGACATGTTTGATGAAAGTCCGTTGTCATGTGACACAATACCAACAAACAACACGTGACCAATAATCAGTCAGATTACCCGTTAAAATGAGAGTATCTGACCAAAACTGCAACGTAAAAAAGTCATGAAAACAAATTCATTGTCCAACATCAAACAACTCTCAGTAGCACATAGTAGCACCTGCATACGGTCTCACGTACACATCCAGGATGTCATCCCTGCAGCGCACACCTGTTATCGTGCCCTGTTGTAGGACATGGAGATCGGTTCTTCCAGCTCTACTGATTCCACCTCAAACCTTCACAGCGGTCATGTTCGTCTACGCTCGAATACTGAACTAGTTCCTTGTCTACACCACCACACTCGGGTACGACGATCTGTGAAATCTAGACAGTATCTCGATTCATCAGTGAAACGTACCTGTCTATGATGTCGGGATGCTAACGCGTGACCGGAGACCAGTCTTATAGGGACGATTACGCACTGTTTATTGGCGTTCCGCAGGTCATTTCTGGGTGTGGCAGCAATCACGTAGTGACGTCTTGCTGCAATCAGGAGAAATCTGCCTATCTGCTGTGTGGTGAAACGCATGTTGACCACCTGCACGTCTGGTACCGATTGAATACCCTCTGATCACACTTTGGCTGACACCAAAGACGTTTGCAACGTAACGTTGTGTTGATCCAGTTTGCACAGTTCTGATGCTATTCTGAACCTTAATACTTTTTTCTATGCAATGTTATACTCCTCTTGGCCGAGTTACTTGTGTATACACCTACTTTAGTGTTTAGAACACTGTCTTCTTACTTGAAATAATGTTACCAAATATCAAAATTCCATGTTAAAAGTGTTAAGTACTACTATAATTTCATGCTGGAAGCAGATGTACTGAATGACGCCATGATCCACAATTAGGTTGTCAAGCTTTGTTTCCTTGTTTGTCTATAGCCTGTTTTAGTTCTAATTGATACCACCTAACCTATTGAAATATGATGATTTTAATCTGCTTTTTTGTAAACTGTTATATCAAAATTATTTTTGAACTGTCCTTTTTCGACAAGTATTGAATAAAGTTTAAGAAGATCAGATCGCATGCGGCTGCAACATTGGTAATCCGACGTAAAAGTTTAACTCACTCACCTTCATATAAAAGAGAAATTGTCAGTCTCACATTCAAAATTTGGAAGTTTGCACTTGTCAGTTGGGTTTTACGTTGCTTTTAGGAACATTCCAGCTTAGTCACAGCAAGAACACCAGAAATAGGCTCACACATTGTAACCACACGGAGAATTGATCCCAGGCCTTTGGCATGGTGGGAGAACGCGTTAAGCACTAGGCTATCCCGACACCCCTTGCAATGTTTTAATTGTCAATAATAAAAACGGCGAAGTATGGGACAGGCGCTTCTTTATCAGTAAGAATTACGAAAGGAATGATATGGGTGCACACTCAGTTGGAAACATTTCTGTTGATGCCCGATCTAACTCGTGTCGATTATTTCTCTTCTCACCCTCCAACATAAATCAATCTTCCAAAGGGTACATTCAATACCATAATTTGACATGACATGTTTTAAAAAGGGTTTTGTGCAGTGTGTTTCAGCTGTAATCTTCGATTAGAATTCTGGGGCAGTTGACAAAATAGGACAAGTTTTGTAATTGAGATATATAGCTTATGCCTTTAGAAAATCTCAACATGAAAAAGCAGCACTTTATGTGTTTTAATGGTCTAAAATGTTCTCGGATGTTCTTGAAAACAGTTGGGTGGTAGTTAGTGCCCTTGTTAGAAAATACGTTTAATGTGAGACAGTAATTCTAAAGTAGGGACAAGTATGATGGCCTTTTACCTCATTATCCTTCCCTATATCCTATTTCGAATATCAGTACGTATAATTATGATCATGAATTTATAATAATTCCACATTTCCTCTCATATTGCAATAAGCCGTACGGAATAGCTGGCACTTTGTACAGGCATGAATAAAATAAAGGTCAATGGCTTCTGTTTCTCACAGTGTATACATTCGTTCGATTTATGCCCATGTGTGATAAAATTTATGTCCCGTATAAATGATGCTTCGCAATTGTAGTCTCCCATATATCCGTTATTTGTTGAAAATCGATGTACCTCTCAACTTGCTTTTTCGTGAAGAGAAACTGCCTATGCGGTCTAGTGGACAGAGCGTCCGTCCCGAAATGGAAAAATTGTTGAAAGATAATTATTTTGTTATCCTGCCTGGCGCTCGACATTAAGGGGATAACACCAGGACTGGCTGGCTCTGAGCCAGTAATGTGTCTCTAGTTACTGATACCATTATGATATCAGCGGTTGTTCCAGCAAGGGTAAACGTACTCAAAGTTGGTAAGGAACCATTGTTCATACGTCTCACAGTGGTTCTTAGCATACAATAACCTACCCTTGACATAGATTCTTATTGAATGATCTGGATACTGATTCCTTATGATGTCTAGTCCTACGACAACACTAAGTATCTGTGTCCCTCAGGTGTACCAGATTCATATGAGCATGGGGTCGAATCCCAGATTCATGTTTTGTTTTGTCGCCTTTCCCGTGCTCAAAAGCTATCAGTTCAGATCTGCATCACTTTGGGCGTTCTCTGTCAGTGAATTATGATCATGCAAACGATCCGAAATACCATTTTCATCATATGAAATACTGGTGGTGGCTGTCACAGATTCAACTGATACCAGGAATAAGTGCCCAGGTAAGTCGTTCTGATACTCTCCAAGCAAAGTAGGGGATCATGAAACAAGTGTTTTATCGAACGTCAAGAAGAAATGTCACACTTGAAAAACGATGCAACTCGGACGTTTTTTTTACATATGTTTAAAGTGCTTTGAACCAAACTCAATTCTAACATGACGCATAACATGTGAAAGGTAGATCTTGATACATACAAGTAATACATAGTGGTAATTTTATTCTTTCTTCACTCGTAAGTATATCTCCTTCTTCAGTATCAGGTCTCGACAGCATCGATTTCTCCGTTTCTGTTTGGTTCCAGAGTCTCAGTCGGGCGGTTTCACATCTGGCAGTCGTGATGAATTTTGCTCTGTGTGGACTGTTGGTGCTGCTTGATCTTCTTGAGCTGACTTCTCTCGGTGAGTTCACCATCTTCTTATCTATTTTCAAAAGAATAGTTTCCTAATGCCTTACTAACATTTGGTAAATAGTTTTGAAACAGCTCCATCGGCATTGCGATATTGCGAAGCTCAATAACGTTTTTCTAATAAAGACGCCTCATCTCTTTCTTCACAGAGAAGTTGTAAGAATTGCACATTCACATCTTTAATTCATCCTTCATTAAAAGATAATTGTAACTTCAAGGAAAGAAACAATATTGAATCTGTAGATTTCGATCATTAAAGAATCCATTTTGTTGTTCTATTTTAAAATCCTCACATAGCTGAAACATGTTCCTCCAAGAGTATACGATAAATTATAAAATGCATTACAAATACCAACCACATAAGACAAAATATTCCGGGTTAGAATTGGCCTTCAGCAACCAATGCTTATCGTAAGAGGTGATTGACAGGGTCGGGCGGTCAGGCTTGCTGACTTGGTTAATAGATGACGTCCAGGCTCGATTGATTTACAGGCCGCCGTCATATGCAGCAGGTATACTCTGAGAGCGGCTTTAAACAAACAAATAAAACAAATAATACGTATATAAATTAAGTCCATTGTAGATTCCGATTATATCATAAGATTGTGTTTAGGAATCAGTATAAAATGGCGTTGATATCTGGTATCCGTGGAATGGCGAGCGTATCCTGATCCACCGGTGGCAACCGTTACAAACACTTGCAAAAGCAATTGTTCACCCCCCAAAAGACTGTCGTCGATGCACCTATGTCGATGCACCTATGTCGAAAACATACAAATATCACAATATTGAACGACACAATATAAATAAGCACACAAACCAGGATTTAAAGAGTAAAAAATACAGTTTAAAAGAATTCAGAATTTTATCAAGATCTGAATGATCCTGTCCACATCCACATTACTTTCGAATTCGCTCT